AGGACCAGAGGATCCAAGCTGGCACAGGCCAACCAGGGTGGTCATGCAAAGGGTGGGGGCCAAGGTCTCAGAGCCCGAGGGAGCCTCGGTTATCTGACACCAGGACTTTACGAGGCCAAAAGGCGAAAAACCACGCTCGAGAGCCATGAGTCTGCACTTGTGGGAACAGCCTAAGGTGGGGAAGGTGGAGAGGCTCACCAATCATAACGATTTTGGATGGGAAGGCTCAGCGATCTGCAGAAGCAAGGCTGTCTGTCGTATGTGAATGGGGCTCCAGAGTCCTAGCATGCCTCAAACTGCCTACGGGCAGGAAGGAGATGCCAGGAGAGTCTTCCCTGTCAGGGAACCAATGCAATTTAAGAAAAGTAGCGTGTGAGAGAAAGACGCCAGGGGACAGGGTTCATGTAGAGGGGTGTATTAGCGAAAGGGATCATAAAAAGGGGAAAGGGAAGGGGGAGACCAAACTCGGGAGACAGGAGAGAGGAGAGAGGGAGAGAGAGTAGAGAGAAGGGGGAGAGGGAGGAACAAAAAGGGAGAGAAAGACAGGGATGGGAGGTGGGCAGGGCCCTTTAAAAAGGGAACATAGTGAATGTGCACAGGTGGTTTCTTAGCTGCTGCAGCTGAGGGCGTATCCTGTCAGAACCCCAAGGACAGGCCAGTACAGATGCCTGGATACTAACAGATACAGCCAAGGATGACCTAAAGCAATGGTTCTTAACCTTCCCAATTGCTGCAGCCCTTTAATACAATTCTTGTTGTGATGACCCCCAGCTATAAAATTATTTTGTTGCTACTTCATAACTGACTTTGCTACCTACTGATAGGAATTGTAATGTAAATATTTTTGGAGATAGGGCTTCAATAAAGGGGCCTTAACCCACAGGTTGAGGTCCCCTGGTCCAGAGCTTTGATTCCTGCTGTCTGTACCTCCTGAGAGCTGGGATTACAAGTGTGTGACACTATGCTTGCTGTATGCACTGGGAACCAACCCTAGGCCTCCAACATTTAAAGCACAATTATCTAGTTTTAGGACATCTCACCAGCCTGCTAATATTTGTGTGTATCTTCTTAGGTTTTAATATTGTCCAGGTTGGTCTTAAACAAATGGGCTCAAGCTAACCTCCTCAGCCTCTGGGGGAGCTTGGACTACCTCATTTCTATTACTTAAAACAAAACATTATTTTGGGGGCTGGAGTGTTGTTAAGAGCACTTACTTATTGCTCTTCTCAAAGACACGTTTGATTCCTCCCATTCACATGGCCTCTAACAACCATGTGTGACTCTGGTTCTAGGGAGTGTGACTTCCTTTTCTGGCTTTGATGGACACTGCATGTATGTGTGCACAAGCATACACACAGGCAAAACAGCCACACACATAAAAGTATTACATGTAAGCCGGGCGTTGGTGGCACACGCCTCTAATCCCAGCACTCAGGAGGCAGAGGCAGGTGGGTCTCTGTGAGTTTGAGACCAGCATGGTCTACAGAGCGAGTTCTAGGACAGTCTCCAAAACAATACAGAGAAACCCTGTCTAGAAAAACAACAACAACAAAAAAGTATTACATGTAAAAATATTCTTATTTTAAGTATTTTGTTTGAGCCAGGGGATGGTGGCCTAAGCCTTTAGTGCCAGGATTCAGGAGGCAGAGGCAGGCAGATCTCTGTGAGTTTGAGGCCAACCTGGTCTACAGAGCAAATTCCAAAGTGGGTGCTGGGGATTGAACCCAGGTCCTCTCAGGCCTATTATTTCTTTAGCTGCCTCTCAACACATTTTCTATCTTCTGGGATAATTTTTATTTCTTTCTTACTTTATTTTATGTGCACTGGTGTGAAGGTATCAGATCCCCTGCAACTGGAATTGCAGTTGTGAGCTGCCATGTGGGTGCTGGGAATTGAACCCCGATCCCTGGAAGGAGCAGCCAGTGCTCGTAACCACTGAGCCATCACACCAGCCTGAGAATTTTTTTCCTAAATATTTCTATGTATCTTTCCATTGTGGATCTCACACTTAATATCTTTTGTGGGTGATATGAAGTCTTTCTAATGTGTAACTCAAGGTATGGTCTAAGTTGACAAGTATGCCATGCAAACAAAATGAATTCTAGTAGTTGCATGGAGTATTTAGGTATATTCTTGTCTTTCTTTTTTGAGATGGTCTATGTAGCCTTGCCTGTCCGGGAACTATGTAGGAAAGGCTAGCCTTTGAGATGAGATGTGCCTGCCTCTGCCACCCTCCTGGGCTTTAAATTTTTCTTTCTTTTTTTTTTTTTTTGGTTTTTTGAGACAAGGTTTCTCTGTATTGTTTTGGAGGCTGTCCTGGAACTGACTCTTGTAGACCAGGCTGGCCTCGAACTCACAGAGATCTGACTGCCTCTGCCTCCCGAGTGCTGGGATTAAAGGCGTGCGCCACCAATGCCCGGCTGGCTTTTAAAATTTTCAAGTTTCCCATTTCTTTTCCTCCCTTCTTGTGTTTCCTTTTCTTCCATTCATGGAGGATCATTTGGTTTATCTGAAGATCCTGCATTAGGATTCACTTCATGCAAGGCTGCTGGTGACACACTCTTTCAGACGTCAGACTACATCATCTACCCCCCCCCCCCCCGCCCCCTCCAAGACCAGTGTCTCTCTATGTAGAGCTGACTGTTCTGGGACCCACTAAGTAGACCAGGCTGGCTTTGAATTCATGATCACCATCTGTCTCTGCATTGCACGTGCTCTGGTTGAAGGATGCACCACTACCACCTAGCTTTTTGTGTAAGTGTGCATGTGTGGATGCCAGAGAACTGTGTCTTGACCAATTACTGGGCACCTTAGTCCCCCAGAGCTTATTTATTTCTCCATCAGGCTGGCTGGCCATCAAGTCCCAGCAGTTCTTTTGTCCCTCATCTTGTCCTTCTCACTTTAGTGCTGGGGTAACAGGCACATGGGGCCATACTTGGCTTTTACCTGGGTGCTAGGAATCTGAACTCAGGTCCTCATGCCTGTGCAAGTGCTTGTACCTGGCTCTGTCTTTTGAAAGTTTCTATGTGTGTATGGATGTTTTGCTTGTACGTACGTATGTCTATACCATGTGGGTGCCTGGTACCTTTGGAGGGTACTGGGTCCCCTGGGATGAGAGTTACAGTTGTGAGCTGCCATATGGTGGTGCTGGGAACCAAACCCACATCTGGGAGAGTACCCAGTGTTCCTGACCACTAAGCAATCCTTCCAGCCTGCCTTGAAGGTTGTCCAAGTTTTAAGATGACTTTAGATTCCAACATGGTCTCCTTTTTTTTTTTTTTTTTTGCTTATACCCTCTCGTTCTTAGATTCCTGAGAACAAATGCCTGACGAATGAACGATTGAAGCTGGCCTACACTCTATGCTCCCTACAGACCAGACACAGCCTAGGGCTCTAGTATTCTCTGTAAAGCAGAGGAGGCTGGGGCAGGTGAACCACATCTTCTTTATGCTGTGTACCCAGCCACAACCTGGACCCCACCTCACATATCTAGGCTAAAGCAATGCTGTACATACACAGGGCTGATGACTCCTGGGGCTCCGGGCCAAGGAGTTTATTGAGGTCTATTGGGGTACCAGCCCCCTAACCTCTCAGGATCCAGAAGGAACAGTACAGCAAGCACAGGACTTAGCTAACGGGATCTGAAGGTGAAGGACATGAATCAGCTCACACACATCCTCCCATCATGTCTATTCTTCCAAAGAAGTCTAATCCCACGAGGTTTCCAGTTTATATACCCACACAGAACAATTAGCAATTCTCTGGCAATGTCAAGATTACAGGTAAGCGTTTCTTGGGGCCAAGAAAACAGAAAAGGGCTAACAGAGTGGGCATCTGCTATCTTATTATGTCTCAAAGGGGGCGGGGCTGTGAGACTCCCTGGCAGATACTGGATCAATTAAGAGGGAGGGCTTTATTTTTATTTATTTTTAAAAACTTGAAAAAATTTTAAAATTTATTATGTATACAGTGTTCTGTCTGCATGTATCCCTGCAGGACAGAAGAGGGCACTAGATCTCATTAAAGATGGTTGTGAGTCACCATGTGGTTGCTGGGAATTGAACTCAGGACCTCTGGAAGAACAGTCAGTGCTCTCAACCACTGAGCCATCTCTCCAGCCCCATATATATTCTATATGTCAAAATGATACAGATAAATGAACTGACTACTCACAGATGTATGTGTCAAGTAGATGGGATATTTTCATGAGATAAACACACAAGCAGTGGGAAACAACCAAAGCTGTTCTTATGAAGAGATGAAACGACTTGAGAGACATTCCAGACAGGAGCAACTGGTTTCCACAGCTGTAACGCCACCTTGCCAGGTGGGGCTCCCTATCAAAGGTCACTCACCTGGTAGTCATCCTGCTGTATCTCTCGTGGCCTGACAGGAATTCTCAAGTGAGGACCCACACAGGTCCTCCAATCCCTCATACTCTTTCATTCTTTCTCCTCCGGGTCTCTTGTCCCAGGCGACAGCTGCTGGGCTGGACAGAAGCAAGTCCAAGCCCGCCGCTTCCTCTTTCATTATACGCCACCACGGGACACACTGACAATCACAGCAGCACATTCTAGATGCTTTGTGGAGAATAGGACCACCCCTGGCACAGGGCAGTGAGGAGAGGACCACGAAGGTCATGCAGGGCTGAGGTCAGGCACCACTTGTGGGCCAAGCTAGCCACGAGCAGGGCACCCAGAAGAGGCTGCGCGACTGTGCCTCCCAGGACTCGGAAGGATGAGTAACTCAGGACAAGTCAGCTCAGTCAGAAAATCTAAGATGTCATTTCCAGCCCTGCCATAGCTCACTGGAAAGAGGGACGGATACTCCCTGCCCACAAACCCTTCCCTCTCACTTTGCTGGGCTGCCACAAGTCAGGACCCAAGGGGCTAGCTCCTCAGCAAGGCCCGTGTGCCTGTCTGCCCACAGCTCTACAAATCTGCAGCAACAGAGCAGGGGTTGGAGATTCCTCCTGGTTACCACAGACAAGATTCAACAAGTACAAACCTGCAAACTCTTTATTAAATTCTCCCATTTCATCTGTACAGAAAAAAATGCACATTATGTTCAGAATCTCAGTAACATCTTGAAATGACACAGCATGAACATGTAAAAAAACAAGGAACTGCAGGGTTTTATACATAGAAAGGAAATCCATTTACAAAAGAGGATTGTTAATTGTACTTCTCGTTAAAACAAAAACAAAACTGAAAAGCAAAAACAGGTTAGAGGCCCGAGATCTGGGACAGCACTCACTGTGTCCTCTGTCTTCCTGCAGGGATGGCCCTGCGTGCTGCTGAGTGACCAGCAAAGGACTCCATACTCTGAGGTTCGCATGTCAGTTTGGGTGGGGAAAGGCATGGTCTGCATGTCTCCTCACTAGGGAGCTGTCCTCTGCTGGGCGCTCAGTGACCAGGTAGGGGGTGGAGACCTGTCAGGACCCTGTCACCATCTGCCTGTGCAGACAGCTGTGTCTTTGTATTTTAGGTGACAAGCAGCCCCTGAGCCCGTACACCAGTCTGTCGGCTCAGGGGAGTGCCACTTTGAGGGTTAATCTTGGTTTGTTTATAACTCACTGTTGTCTGAGAACTGGGTAGCAAGAAGGAAAATTTGACTTTAAACTTGATCACTTTAACAGGTGACACTGGCCTCCCTAGTGGAGAGGCCAAGGAAAGGTGTGGCTGGACAGATGGCAAATCAAAGCTACAAGGAGGGGAGGGGAGACCAGAATAGCAGGTACAGCCCTTTGGGAACCGAAACCAAGTAGGGCAGAGAAATCCAGGGGGGCATTCTGAACTTTGTGTTTCCAAATTCTCAAGAAGTTGAAACACAAACTTCCAAGAGGCATGTAATTAAAAAAGTCACCACCTGGCTGACTTGTGAGATACCGAGCCTCATGTAAGTGGAGACAGTTTGTTTTTGTTTGGAGACAGGGGAAAGAATGGGAAGGGAGGTACATTTTCAGGAGAACTTAAGACCAGATGCATGGGGAGTCCAGAAGTCACAGTGATACACAGGAGCGAATGCTCTCAGGAAGGCCAAGAGCACTAACCACGGCCCCCGACCTAGTGTGTCTGCTACCAGCTGACTTCAGGAAACAGGAAGACATACATTTGGGTAATAACTTTCTGTAACTCATCTGGGACACGGACTCTTCCTCACACATTTTTGACCCCATGCTGGCCTGGATGTTCCTATCTAAGAGCAGGAGATGGCAGCCATGGTACCTGTAACGGGCTCTGTTACTGCCTGATTACTTAATGCCACTTCATTAGTGGCCTTGGAGTGCCCCGCCCCTACCCACGAAGGGAGCATGGGTTCAGCATGCTGACTTGATCCACAGAACCAGGGCTGGAAATGGTAGCCAGATGTTTCCTGGGAATGCAGAGGGTAAGGCTTTCCCAGGGCCTGACTGCTGGCGTATCCTCTACAGCAGCAAGAGCAATGCCGTTCAGGGATGAGGCCTGGTAAACTCAATGTCTTTCCTCTTTCTGGAGTGTTCTTTCACTGGGAATAGCCCCATCAGAGAAGGTGAGTGTGGTTCCTAACTCACTGTCCAGATCTCTGATGTTTTTAAGCAGCAAAGGGTAGTGTACCAATAACAGTCCCCAAGACACTGGCATGAGCTGGCGAAGGCACAGTGACCTGACTGCTCTGCTCCAGCCTTGGCCCAAACCTCCTGACGACTTCTAGTCTTAGGCAATGGAAGTAGAACAGCAAAAGGCAAGGCTCAGACTTGGGCTCCCACCATAGGGTTGGATTCTTGACCAGTTCATGACTAAGTTATACCCAGGACTAACTTATGAGGCCAGGGGCTTGAGTGCCCTAGAGCCCACTGCACTATGGCCAGTGAGCTACAGAATGGACGGCACTGGGCCCCTAGGCAGACTAGAAAAACCTGCTTGAGATCAGGCCTAAGCCAGTTGTAAGAACTACTCCATGGAAGATGAACACTTCCTATACTAAGTAATTCAAGACAAGAGGAGCTATCTTTTCTACTCTGACCATCAATTTCTAATGACAAATATTTTAAGACCCTAACTCATCAAACCTCCAAATCTGAAGGCAGTGCGGACTCCCGTCACTGTAGAAACAGAAAGGGGGCTACAGAGATCAGAGTCATGACCCTACCGTAGTCTAATGGTGAACATCAATGTGACCCCAAATCACCAAGATGTCAGGGGGCTACCTTCAACAACGTTTGCAGTTCTGGGTATCAGTCTCAGTGTGACACTGAGACTCCTGGAGAGGGAGGGACTTTAAAGACTGTGTTAGCCAGTTAGCAGTGAGGGTGTTGCTTACAGAGCAGGGATTTTAAGTCTCATGAAACGCAAGACTCCCAAGACACCTGCTGAGAATCAGGAAGACTCTAAAAGCAGTAATGAGGGGACCAGGCAGCTTAGCAAGCAGCTCCCCTTGGCGACTTCTGTTACTCTATACAGGGACAGTCAATGGCCCAGGAACTCACTGCCATCAGAGAAGGCAGCAAGAAAGAAAACCACAGTATTCCAATGAACGCCAGTCGGGTCAGACGAGGAGCCTGGAGCGACTGTGTGTAACTGACATTGCTGGCACTGGGCGTCCCAGGAAGACACACGCCCGGCTGCACACGGGAGGCAGGAGCAGAGGGCACTGCAAAGGGCCTGGGTCTATGCGGACAGTTTTAGGCACATGATTTATAATACTTTGTGGACATCTAACAGGTTAATAAAATATATATTATATAAATATATCTCCTACTGTACATGCCACCCTACTGTACAGCCACTGTGACGCCATGGCCCGAACTCACCAAAGGTGAGCTGCAATGCCTGGTCCTCCTCTTACGCCCTAACCCTGTCATTTTCACACTGGAGGACCGAGGGAAGACAGCTGAGAATCTTGCTCCTGTAAAGCACAGGTTTTAGAAAGTTGACAAATCACCAAAATATAACATTTAGCCAGTGCCTACTAGAGTGGGTACACACACCAAATGAGCAGAAAGGAAAGGAAAAACAAAAACGGAGAAAATCCTGCATCTTTTAATGCAATCACTTTCCACGTCCCTTCATATAGAGGCACAGAAGAGCTTGTCTGGGAAGTCTGCCGGGCGTGTACACAGTCAGGCTTCATTGCCAGTCACATATCCGAGACCATGCTAAATCTGTAGACGCCACCATTTCTGGCCTGTACTGGAGCTCAAAAAATAAAGTGAAGTGAGGCCAACACCTATTCCTCCTTGCACTGCCACCCTCATCCTCATCTTAGAAGCCCCACACCCCAACCTAGCAACTACTCCCTGTTGAGGTAGAGAACTTCCAGGGCAACCCAGGCTCAGACACAAGTCTTAGTGCAGATCAGCGGACAGCCCTGCTTCAGACGTCTGCTCCTCCCTAGTCCTCTTGCCACTGACCCAGGGAGCTCGTGCCTCTGCACTCAAGTGGGGAGATCACAGGATGCCTGCTGCTATGGGCCGTGGGCAGCAGCGGCTCGCCTGGGGTAGGAGATGGAAGGCATCACGCTGTAGCAGAAGCGAACAGGACCCAGGACAGGCTGCTTAGTGTCCCCACTATTTGGTGAAGTCCCCTGCCTTGATGTGGCCCCAAGTTGCTTCTAGGAGAGGAACCAGACATGTCAATGATCAGGCACCGGATACACCCATCTCCTCCAAGCCCTGCTGTCACCTGCTGCATTTAAATGAAAGAAACAACCCTACTGCTCGAGTCAAGACTGAAGGAGATGGGCTACTATATACACTTTTTCTTCCTTTAAAATTTGTCTTTAAATTTGTTTTAAAAAAAATCTGAGTTGCAGGTCAGGTGAGTCGTTCTGGAAGTACTGGCAGTTCTGTTGGTAAGACAGAATTGTCTACAGGCAGGTAAACCCTTCGCCAACAAAGGCTACCACCAAAGCAGCCAGCTGCCAACGCTGCAATGGCAGCCGGGAGGAGGAGGACACCGCGATGTGGCCAAGTCTGGGTGGGAAGATGCAGTGGCACCTGATGCTGCTCTACTGTGGGTGTTGGTGCCACCTCGTAGAGGGACGAAGTGAGAGGGTGCATTATACAGGAAGGCTGTACAAACGGGGCCCTGGGCAGGTAGTTCCTTTAGTGATCAGGCAGCTCTACCTGTCCTTGAGCTCTCGTGTCACACGCTTAGTGATCCGTCCACACATCAGGCCGATCAGGAACAATATGCAGATGCTCCCACTGATCACAGATAGTATATAGTTCTTTGAGGGAGATGTCATCACTTGCATGGCAAGATCAGAGAAGCCATCTGCTGGGGCCACCTGGGGGGAGACAGCAACGTCACCCTTTGAGGATAGGTGGTAGATTATATCTCACTTGTCCCCTGAATTCCTAGTTTAATGTGTGTGTGTATTTTAAAATTAATTTGTTTGTTTGATTGGTTTTTTGAGGGGTTTCTCTGTGTAGCTTTGTAGACCAGGCTGGTCTTGGACTCGCAGAGATCCTCCTGCCTCTGCCTCCCGAGTGCTGGGATTAATGGTGTGTGCCACTACACCTGGCTTTCCTTCTTCCCATTATTACTAATCTGGCCGTGTGCACGTGCGGGGGTGGGTGTACGGTGGGAATGTGGACGCCCACTTGTCATGATGCATACTTGGAGCCCAGAGGACTACTCCGTGCAGTGAGTTCACCCCTTCCACCTTTAAACAGATTCCAGGGATTGAACTCAGGTCTTCAGAGTGCCCACAGGCCTATTCACCCAGTGAGCCCTCTTGTGCACTTAAGGAAACCAGCACAGCTATAACGCTTTTTTTGGATCATAAAACTGTAAGTGTCTCCTTTCCAAACTGAGATATAGAGAGACACATAGAGGCCATCACCCTCATGTGCTGCTAAGGCACTAACAACTAACTCCTTGTGCTGCAGATATGATGCCAGCCTGTGAGGTCTCTGAATGCTTTCAAACTCACGCACTGTTCGGACCAGCTCAGCAGACAGATCTCAGTCCTACGTTACAAGGTGAAAAGCAGGGGCCATTGTTTTATATTTTTCTTTTCTTTCTTATTGTTGGTGTTGCCAGAGGAAGAAGGTCCAGGCTGGCCTCAAACTTGCGATGTGCTTGCCTTACTCTCTGAACACTGGGATTACAGGCATGTACCACATAGTAAGTGTAATTATTACATTGTAAGTACTTTCACATCAAAAACACCGTGTAATCATGACTCAGAAAATCAGGCCCAAAAGGGTTCCTAAGTGCACACAAATTGTTCTTTTGCGTATTACCCTTAAACGCCTAGAAGCTCACTGAGGTCAAGAGAACCTGGGTGGCTCCTACGTTGATGACATATATTTAAGAACAGAGCAGGAGGTGTAAAATTAATGCGATTGGCTAGCACACAATAAACAGTGAGTCCCTCTGAGTCTCTCAGTCACAACTTGAGCAGCTCAAAGGAGAGGAAAACAGTAAGGGAAGATGACTTAGTGTCTGCTGCTCCACCTAAGCAGGACTCCACCAGTGAAGGGGTGGCTGCTGTAAATGACAACCGGTCAGGGTTGGACTCTGGTAACTGAGTACGAAGAGTACAGGTCTGCAGTAAGGGAGATACTAGCTCTGGGTTCATCAACACTTGGGTTTTAGAGACTTAATATATTTTTGTTTTGTTTTTCTAGACAGGGTTTCACTGTGAATCCCTGGTTGTCCACAGACCAGGCTGGCCTCAAACTCAGAAATCCACCTGCCTCTGCCTCCCTAGTGCTGGGGTTAAAGGAGTGCGATACCCGCCTGGCCTGATTTTTTGGAATATATCCACTCCTAAATTTCTATCAAAGATAAGACCAGTGACACATGTCACAAAGATGGACTGGCAGAAGAGGCTGCCATGCCAGAGGTGGTTTCGCTCTTTACCTTGGCTGCATAACTCCACATTTCAATTCGGTCATTGAGGCGCTTTTTGCACTCTGGCTGCAACCTCACCCGCTTATCTTCCAAGGCCTCCATCAGGCAGGACATCTCTGTGGGAGCAAATGTATAAGAAGTCTGCAACTGTATAGAAACAATTCCATGGCATTAGGGAGAATATTCCCAAGCATCCGAGAACTCAGCTCTTCAGGACCAACAAAGTCAAATTCTTTCTGGGAACCTTGATCAAGATCCCACAGGTGAGGAGCGTGGCTTCCAGCGTCAGCTGTTCACAAACTGGTCACACCTCTTACTTTCACTGGGTATCCCTGGCTTAGAAACAAGCTGCCTCTCAGCTGGGTTTCAGACACCAAGAAGCTGACATGGTGCCTGTTACAGACAAGGATGCCCAGTGTAGGAAAGAGGAGAGGAGGACATGCTAGTGGGTTACTTCTCTCTGTGTAGCCCGGGCAGTCCAGGAACTCTCCATATAGACCAGCCTGTCTCTGGCTCCCGAGTGCTAGGATTAAAGGTATGCACCACTATGTTTAGCTGTAACTTAATTTTTGATACCCTAAAAAATAACTCAAATTTCTCTCTTCACTAACTCTGTGGCTCTGGCCAGTTCCAACCTGCAAAATTAGCCCCAAATTTACTGTCACCAAGGCCTAGCTTTACCATCAAGCAGACATCCAGGAGAGGCTATATATGACTGGTCTATAGCCACAGTCAGAGCAGCTGCAACTGGCTACTCAAAGGCAGCCTTTGTTCCTCCCAAAGGAGTTCAGACAGGGAGAGAGCAGACAAGTATTACTTACGACGCCCTCGGCCGGGGGTGATGGCTGCACAGTGGTGTTTAATGTCCAAGGCACATGCTGTGTGAAGAACGGGGTCCACAAAGATGTCTGCCTTGCTCTCCTTCAGCATGTTTAATACTTCCTGGAAAAGGAAGTCCATGGTACAAAGAGCTTTGTAGAGGAACTGTATCCCATCTGCTGCTTGTAATAAGCTATAGAACATGCAAATAAATAGGCCAAAAAGGGAAGATGAACTAGAAACTACTCTGGGATAGGCGGGTGGTAACATGGCCATATATGCATAGCATTAGTCTAGACTTCTGGCCCCCAATCTAATCTGCTAACTCTCTGAAGAGTACAGGCGGGGCTAAAGAAAGCTAATAACAGTGTGCTCAGGACTGGGTGACCAGGCAGGAGTTCTTGGCATTCTGGTATGCTACATTATTTTATTTTATTTTATTTTAAGTTTTCTGAGACAGGGTTTCTCTGTGGCTTTGGAGGCTGTCCTGGAACTCACTCTGTAGACCAGGCTGGCCTCAAACTCACAGGGATCTGCCTGCCTCTGCCTCCCGAGTGCTGGGATTAAAGGCGTGCGTCACCAACGCCTGGCGCCACATTAAAGTACCTACACATTAGTATTTTTATTGATAAAATACTTATTCTGTTACTTTAGGAAAAATGAATGATGTGAAATTCAAAAATCAGACTGATGACTGAGAATTTTAATATTAGTCTACTTCCAAACTGCACTTCTGGATCAAGACCCTGGAGGGAGGATGGCTCAGTGCCTAGAGCACCTGCTGCTCTTCCACAGGTCGAGTCTGGTTCCCAGCAGCCATGGCGTCCGATGGAGACAATTTCTCAACCAAATAAAAGTATGTTTTGTTTATAAAATGTTCTACTTTAGCTGGGTGGTGGTGGCACACTAGAGGCAGAGACAGGCGGATCTGTGAGTTCGAGGCCAGCCTGGTCTACAAAGTGAGTTCCAGACAGGCTCCAAAGCTACACAGGGAAACCCTGTCCAAAAAAGAAAAACAAAAACCAACAACAAAAAAGAAAAAGTTCTACTTTACTTATGTTCTTAAAAAAAGATTTATCTTCATTAACTTTATGTGCATGCGTGTGGGTATGTATAAATGATGCAGTTACCTCTCCCCTGAAGCTGGAGTTACAGGTAGTCGTGAGAAGCCTGGCATAGGTACTACGAAATGAACTCCAGGAAGAGCAGTAAATGTCTCAACCACTGAACTGTTTCTTCAGCGCCCTTCTGTCCCTCTTTTTTTTTTTTTTTTTTTTTTTTTGGTTTTTCGAGACAGGGTTTCCCTGTATTGTTTTGGAGGCTATCGGTCCAGCCCAGCCTCGAACTCACAGAGATCCGCCTGCTTCTGCCTCCCGAGTGCTGGGATTAAAGGCGTGCGCCACCACCGCCTGTCCTGTCCCTCTTTTTAATTATCTGAGTTTAAAGATGTTCTGAGCAAGAGGGATATAAACCTAGTAGAACTAAAATCAGTTCCACAGATACTTCACTTATACGCAGTGCAATTACAGGATGCAAAGACAGACCAGAAATGTTTGTCTCTTTTCGTACTTAAAATTTGTTTTTGTTCTGTTTTGAGACAGGATCTCAGTGTTATGGCTTGGCTGTCCTGGAACTCAGAGACTTTCACCTGCCTCTGGAGGCCTGGAATTAAAGGTGTGTGCTACCATGTCTAGCTAATTTTTTTTTAAATGGGCATTGGTGTTTTGCCACAGGTGTCAGGTCCCTGGAGACTAGACTTACAGACAGTTGTGAGCCACCATGTGGGTGCTGGGAATTGAACCCAGGTCCTCTGGAAGAACAGCCAGTGAGTGCTCTTAACCTTTGAGCCATCTCTCCAGAACCAGAATTTTTAAAATTATTATACTTGTTTATTTAGTGTTTATGCTTGTATAAGTCAGAAGAAAACTCAAGAATCTGTTCTTTCCTTTTGTCATATGGCTCTGTGATCAAGCTGATAGACTTGGCGGCCATTGCTTTTCCCTTTCTTACCTTTTCTCTTGGGATGGTGGGGGCTGATGTAGGACTAGGCAAGCTGAGCTACTCCCAGCCCCAGAAATTAGTTCTTAATAAAAATTACTTTAATAGAAAGACTATAGTTCTTAAAGATAACAACAACACCTCAAAAACTTCTCATCAAAACCCAAATACTTGTTTTAAAGAAATCTCTTCTACTCAGACAGGATCATGTGTAAGAAAAATGTATGGACTAGGTTTCTTTTTATTTACTTCTTTTTTGTTTTGTTATTTTGAGACAGGGTCTGTTCTGGACTCCCTCTGTACACCAGGCTGGTCTAAAACTCAAGAGATCCCCCGGTTTCTGTCTCCCCAAGTGCTGGGATTAAAGATGTGAAGCACCTGGCTGGGAGAGATGCCTCAGAGGTTAAGAGCACTGACTGCTGTTCCAGAGGATCCCGGTTCAATTCCCAGCACCCGTATGGCAGCTCACAGCTGTGTAAAAGTACAGTTCAGGATCTGACACCCTTACACAGATATATATGCAGGTAAAACACCAAAGCACATAAGCCAATCTTTAAAAAATAACACACACACACACACACATACATACACACACACACACACACACACACACACACACACACACACACACACACACACACACACACACACACACACAGAGTGCAGTACCAGCTTGGATTTGGTTTTCAATCAGCCCTTCCCATTCCTCAGAATATGGACTTGAACACTTTGGGCAGCTCCCCCTTTTCTCTTCTTCCTTTTAGCACTATAATACCAACTCCTTAATAACCAAACACCAGAGATGGAGAGATGGCTCAGAGGTTAAGAATACTGACTGCTCTTCCAGAGGTTCTGGGTTTAATTCCCAGCAACCACATGGCAGCTCTCAACTGTCTGTATGTAACTTCTGACACCCTCACACAGACATACATGCAGGAGAAACACCAGTGCACACTAAAAAAACAAAACAAATGCAAGCTGGGCGTGGTGGCACATGCCTTTACTGCCAGCACTCAGGAAGCAGGTGGACCTCTGAGTTCAAGGCCAGTTTAGTCTACAAGAACAGCCAGGGCTACAAAGATAAACCATCTTGAAAAATTGGGGGAAAAGTATTCAAACATAAAATATAAGCCTTTCTACCCAGAATGCTGTTAACTCTTTCCAGACCATAATATGGTCCTTGACCATTAATCTATAGCTCTCTTCCAATAAAGAATGGAATGGAACCAAAGGAAAACGCGAAAAGGAGGCAGGGACAGGCAAGGATGAAGGCGTGGCTACCTTTTTACACAGATCTGTTCTGATCTTGAGCAGGTTAACCTTGAGGCATTCTTCCACTTGGCCCGTTTGCTCCTGGGCTGCGGCTTCTTCAGCACACAGGCTGGCAATCTGCTCAGGAGACAAGAAAACAGGGCCACCCTACTTAGGAACGACGAGCTTCCAGAGATCAACCCCATCTATCAAGCCCCGAATATATGGTTCCTGCTGCAGACTCTGAATGGGCCTGCTCCTCAAGGACAGGTGAGAGACAATGCCACTGATTTCAGAAACCTGGGGCCCTAAATGTATCAATGTTGATTCTCCCAAACATGTGCCCAGAGCTCCTGGTGGAGTGTGCACTCCTTTCAGCTGCACTTGGTGACAGCTCCGTTCTCCTTTCAGGTGCAAAGACTGTCCGTTCTGAAAGAGGCACAGGCGGGTAGATCTCTGTGAGTTCAAGGTCAGCCTGGTCTACAGAGCGAGTTCCAGGACAGCTAGGGCTCGAAAAACAAAAACAAAAACAACAACAAAGAGAAGACTACACTTTGATTCCACAGGAGGAAGATTAACTAGCAAAGAAAAATACTAAAAGAAAACACTAAACACTGGGCTCAACTTGACGTTCAGTGCCATGTGACGACACCCATAGACTTTGCAAACATAATCTTCAGAGAAGAGAGTAAACAACTTTCTTTGGACAGTTTTAAGAGGAACATAAGCAGGGCTCCTTAGATGGCCTTTTCTAGCCAGGAAGACAAACAATTTCTAAGGACAGGCACTTAGAGCCATTAGGAGAGCACTTTTATTTTTTTAGATTTATTTACTATGTATACAGTGTTCTGCCTCCAGACCAAAAGAGGGCACCCGATCTCATTACAGATGGTTATGACCCACCATGTGGTTGCTGGGAATTTAACTCAGGACCTCTGGAAGAGCAGCCAGTGCTCTTAACCTCTGAGCCATCTCTCCAGCCCCAAGTACTTCTATTTTTCTGGCAAGTCTTGAGGGGTTCTGAATGGTCCCTGAGAGTAATAAAGGAGGATCACACTACCCGGGGAAGTACTAATAAAAGACTCTTATTTGAAGACAGGTGTGGAAGCGATGCTGAAGACTAACAAGCTAATGCCAAGTCCAGGTCAGGGTTAAGCAGAAGCTGCAAGTCTTACCCAGAACCAGCCTGCAAGGAAGCACAAGTAGGAACAAAGCAGAGAAATAACTTTTCTCCAGTCACTTCTTCTGGGAAGCTCTCCTTTACAGCCAGAGCTTACCTCTTCTGAGCAGTGCAGCTGGAGCTGAGGGTCCAGGCGGTAATCCAGAGCAGACTCCTGGATGATGATGCGGATCTGGTCCTCACAGTCTGAGGACAGGCGCTAGAGATGACAAAGGGAAAACACATCTTGAAAACTTGAGAGCATCAAGTTCTTACATGAGCCCTCACAACCCAGCTCAGGGGAGGCACAGAAGGTCTTAGGACAACAGGAGAATGCTGGTGATGGCCATGAGAAATGCTCATCAATACAGCTCTCGAGAGCCCAGAAGGGTACCTGGTCAGCATATCTCAGCTTGAGGCACGAGATGACTTGGCCTTCTAGCTCTGAATCATCCTTTGCTTTGGTCAGGATACCATGACAGAATTTAGGAATGTCAGCTTTACAGGCTTTCCTTAGCACGGGGTTTAAGCGGTAATCTAGAGTAAAAACATGTCAGTGTAAGATAAAATGGTTCACCTATACACTTTCACAAATTTTTGCAAATTCACCTTTTAAAAGGGGGCTTATTATGTTAATAGTCATGAATATAAACAGCAGTTTGTTAAGTTAGTGAATGGCAGATAAGTTGTATGCTAAGCCTGCTGTTGTTTTTAAAGGAAGGAGGGTCTTCCTGCAGTTCACAGCAGGGAAGACATGCTGGCAGGCCTGCTAGTCACATATTCTGAGATGCAGATTTCACAGTCCTCCTGCCTTAACCCTTCGAGTGCTGGGATTAAATGTGTGTGTGCTACCACACCTACCTTTTCAAGGTTGCTAATCAGCAATGTGACTTAGTGAAAGAGCACTGGTTCTCAGGATCCTTCAACTCTGCAGGGCTTTATGGTCCAATATTGAAAGCAGATAACAGAGCTTTGCCCACAATAGAGAAATAGCTAACACTCTGTCCACTAAGCTACAAGCGCTCCTAGTCAAAAACTGAAGTTTCCCTTCTGAAAACAACTGACCATGCTCATGGACTCTGAGGAAATCTGTAGAACTCTCTTTCTTAGGAAGCTAATGTCAAGTCTTTTTCCGTGGGTTTAAAGACTGGCTGCCCAGATTTCCAGCCCTCTCCTGACCTCCATTCTCATTTTTGGGTCGTCTTCAGAGGAGGAGGGGTACCCTGCTCATGTGCAGGTGTGCCTCTTCACCCCATCAACTCTATGGCAGCCATAGGGAACCACATGTCCGGCCAGTCCCACCTGGGTCACACTGAGTGGGGTGGTACCTGTGTTCTGGGTGATCTGGCGCTTAGTTATCATCTGTTTGCATTTGGGATCCATCAATTCACTGTTTTTATTTTGCTTCAAACACTGTAACATGGTTTTGGAATCTGCTTCTGGACAAAATCGCTGCAAAGAAAACAAAATTATATGAAACAGGCTATTCCAAACTAGCAAATAATCTATCTGTAACTGCTTTTACATCTACCTGGGAGCTCATGAAAGCATAAGACAAAGGAATCACTTGGCATGTGCAGGGAAAAGCTAAGTATCAGTAGGTGCCCAGACCCAAGTCCCTTGTTTACTTTTTCCTAACTGCCAACATTTTTCACATTTCTCCCTGCCAACATTGGTTCCATTCTGCAGAGGCTTGTTCCTATTACTATGGCTATATTATAGTATAGACCAGCTCACAAGTGCAAGTACTGTGTGAGTATGAATATAATACTGTACCTACTAGGTGCCATCCAGTCCTTAAGCCTTACCTACCTAACCACAGTGGCAGAATTTAGGAAATAACTATTAACCAGTATGAACTGGGATCTGGGGAAAGGATACACGTGGTTTACCTTAAGTGTAGGGGTTATAATCTACCAAACATGTGAGGTTAGCCTCTATACACTTATTACTGTGCTTAAATGAGAGCCCAAGTTTGGGCTGGTGGTGAACTCCATCTCTATTTGTTAACCTGCATGTCCATGTACAGTGCCTCAAACCCTGCTTAGGACACCTCACCACCAAGTCTCTCTTGCTTGTTTTAGTGTTCATGTTCTCCCTCTCTCTTCTCCTTTCTTTGGTATGTGAGCATATGCACACACACACACAAATAAACATGAAATTTTCATGGATAGTGATTGATAGGATCAGCACTATATATTACAGGAAAGCTGAAAAGCATTGTTTCATCAAAGTTTCTTTGCATTTCCTTAAGTTTAATTTCTTTGTATATACAAATAGGTTAAGAACATTACTGGAGGAGCCGGGCGTTGGTGGCGCACGCCTTTAATCCCAGCACTTGGGAGGCAGACGGATCTCTGTGAGTTTGAGGCCAGCCTGGTCTACAAGAGCTAGTTCCAGAACAGCCTCCAAAGCCACAGCGAAACCCTGTCTCGAAAAACAAAAACAAAACAAAACAAAAAAAAAACCATTACTGGAGGACTTATTTGAAGCAAAAGATATGTCAAATAGAAACACATTTTGCATGGCCAAAGATGGCTGGTGGTTAAGAGCACTTGCTGTTCTTGCAGAGGACCTGGGTTTGGTTTCCAGACCCATGTGGCATTTTTTTTTTTTTTTGGTTTTTCGAGACAGGGTTTCTCTGCATTTTTTTGGAGGCTGTTCTGGAACTCCCTCTGTAGGCCAGACTGGCCTCGAACTCACAGAGATCCGCCTGCCTCTGCCTCCCAAGTGCTGGGATTAAAGGTGCGCGCCACCAACACCTGGCTCCCCATGTGGCATCTTACATCTACCTAAAACCCTTATTCTAGGAAACCCAAAGCCCTCTTTGGTCTCAGTGGGTCCCAGGCATGTATATGGTGCCCATTCATACATGCAGGCAAAAGACTCATATACATAAAATAAAGTTTAAAATCTTAAAAAGAAAGAAATGTCTTGGGCATATGATCTGACGATGACTCTGGATTGTGACTTTTTCAGCACACCTATCCTGGCCACCAATTAGCTCAGTTCTGTGATTTTCCCAACTTGAACAGTAGCCACATTACCTGGAGGGCTTATGAACACTCTGTCTGCTCCACCCCCAGAGATTCTGAGGGCTCAAAAGATGGCAGGTGAAGGCAATGGTACTGTGTTGAACAGGATCCAAGGCAATGGTACTGGACTACAAACCACAGCTGAGGTAATCACTATGTTTGCTGTGTTTAACAGCATACAATGCAAAGGGGTTCATGTTGTTATTGTCACTTAGGTCATACTTGTTCCTTACCTTAATCATCTGCTTACAGACTCGCATAAGTGTATAGTCTAGTTCTGGGTCCATCATCTCTGTCTCCTGAAGCTTAAATACTTTCTGGTGGCAACGGGTACTCAGCTGCTTCTTGTTTTCTTTCAGACATTCAATAATCTACGATGTAAGAGTTAGGAAGTATCAATCAGAAATTGACAGTTCATCTGTTAACTGATAGTTATGTATGATGCTATTAATTGATAGTATAGATGATGTTAGGAAGCATTATCAGGGATTGAAACTCATCTGTTTTGACTGTGACACTCAGTTCAGTGAATGGCACTTCAGTAGTTTCTAATTCCAGGCAATAGGAGTATGGACTTTCTCATTAAGGGGAACTACACTCATGGATTTATAACATTAGAGCCAACAGTGGACCGAATGTCAAAAATTCCAGGTGATTAGCAGGGTGTACTGGAATCTAAAAGGAAACCCACTTGGGCTTTCTGGTTTCTTCTTCCTTCTTGAGCCAGCCCTTGTTAGGACTCTTCTTGAAGCACACATTTGAGTACTCTGACGAGAGAGCAGGTATAGTCTAGAGACTCAGTTAAACTCAACTTATGTTTTATAAGAGTAGCATCAGATGCTAAGTATGAATTAGACCCAATCCTGTATGACAAATGACATATCAGAGGGTAAACTATGAAAAGCTATGACAGAAAATATTGAGTGGCACTATAAAAAGTATCATGGGATGGATTTTAAGGTAGGTGTATACTGAACCAAATGTTTAGATATAAAAGTACATAATCAAAGAAAGCAGATGGGACGCAGAACCTACCAGGGCTGCAGCATAAAGCCATGACACCTCTGAAGGACTTAAACTAGAAAACACAGTGATACCTTAAGAAACGATGCATAAACAGGGAGACCTGTCCACAGGACTCCCAGGAAAAAAGGAAAAGCAAAGCAGTATCTGAAAGAACAGTGCCTAAAGGAAGACCCTGATCCTACAAGTGTCTATATGACAAAGAACAATGTCCTGCCCAGTCTCATTCTCACTGAAATTATAGGTCATCACACAGAAAACTCAAATCTAAAAGAAAGTAACTACAAACAAAACAAAAAACAAAGAACTGAGACTTTGCACTGGCAACTGCAGACACAAGAAATCAAAGAAAGTATCTCAAAGGCTAGAGCACTATAGCAAGGTCCTAGATAGCTGAGAAGTTGGGCGTGGTGGCACACACCGTTAATCCAGCACTTGGGAGGCAGAGAAAGGTGGATCTCTGCGAGTTTGAGGTCAGCCAGGTCTAAAGACTGAGTTCCAGGACAGCCAGGGCTACACAGAGAGAACCTGTCTTGGAAAGGCACAAAAGCAAGCAAGAACTAACTGTGCAGTGGAACACGGGATGAACACCAGAGGTGGAGTCACCGGAGAAGCTACACAGGAGAAATACCTAAACCAATAGCAGGAATTCACTGGGCAGACAAGGCAGAGAGGGGTACAGCTGAATGGGGAATTAAACTGACAAGGGTGCGTCAGTCCTTGTCTCACTGGTGAGACACTGACTGCTATAAAGAAACCTTAACTTGACTCCGACACTTACAGCAGAAGTGAAATGTTACCTGAGCATTTCCATACTGCACTGTAGAACAGTAGCCCTTGATATCACTCTTGCAGGCTTCATACAAATCTGGTTCCAAACGGATGTCCTCCGTCTGCATGAGAGGAAGTCAGTATAGGAAGTGAGGCAATTTTAAGCTACAGATACCAATATATATTTTTCAAGATTTACTTTTATTATTTTAAATTGTATGTACTTATGTGTGCCTGCATGTGGGTATGTGCACGAGTGTAGGTATCTGAGAAAGCCAGAGGTGTCAAGATTCCCTGGATCTGGAATTACAAACAGGCATGAAAAAGCTAAAATTAAAAAAAAAAAAGCTGGGCAGTGGTGGCGCACACCTTTCTTTTTAATTCCAGCACTCAGAAGGCAGAGGCAAGTGGATCTCTGTGAGTTCAAGGCCAGCTACATAGAAACCCTGTCTTGAAAACTAAGATTAAACAAACAAAAAAACCCAAACAAACAGGCATGAGATACCTGACATAGGTGCTGAGAACTGACCTTAGGTCCTCTGGAAGAGTAGCAAGTGCTCTAAGCACTAAACTTTCCCTGAAGCCCCGGAAGGTGGAATGTTTACACTTATCTGCTGACTGGACACTGTCTAGGAAGGACTTCTACAGGGGGCAGCACATGGTAAATTTCATGTGTGACCCCACACCTCATGCTTCACTACAGCAGCTGAAGTTGCCCCTCTCCTTCAACTCCCCAGTTGTCTCAGGGGGCCACAAGCTGACACACCTAACTTTAAGGGACGGAGTTTTATTTCAAGAAGAAGGGCGATTTCTCTTTTCCCCTTTCCTGATGGAGAGGAAAATGAAATAGGAAGTTCAGCTGTTTCAGGCAGCCATCCTGCAGCCAGAGGACCAGCCTCAGGGCGAAACGGATGCCAAGGACAGCTCAGTGGACAGCAAAGGTCTTCTGTCTTTGAGGACAGTACGGATCCAATGACTGTGAACGCTTGGAATCTGTCCCAGTTTGACTTCTCGTGGTGTGGAGTAAAAATATTCTATCATTTAAAACCAAACTCAAAACAGTAAAGAACAACTAATGTCATACGGAAAGATTTTCAACTGTAACTACATCTCATGCTTCACAATGGTAGCAAAACCCATCTTCCTGTTTCTGTCTCTCCTGTGGTTTCTGGAAGCATTACCATCTCCAGCTCCTCCACACGGAGTTGCTTGCGGCACTTCAGTGACACCCGGTGTTCCTTGGCTTCCTGTAGAGTGTCGTTTCGTACAGTGGTGCTCAGGCAGATCACTACATCAACCCTGCAAAGGAAGGAGAAGGCATAACATACATACTGAGAATCATTCCCTGGAGGTACAGAAAAAGACTATGTGTTCAGTAACGACCTGCCATCCCCCCAAGAACAACTCGTAAGGTTTGGGCAGCTGTACTGTCAAAGTCTACCAGTTTCCTCATTAAGACACAATTCCCAAGGGAGCTGAGGTCTACCTATCCCCCAAAATTCTACTTCAGTGAAGTTGTGTTGTTTCTCTGCAGAGAAGCCAAACTGGGGTGTGCTGGGAAGAAGCTGACTCAGGACTCCCCACAACTGATTCCTCAGATAGGCAGTCTGAACCCAGGGTTAAAAAAAAGAATATTCCCATACTTCAGGGGCTTTTCTTTGAGAACATCTATGACCAAATGTGGCTGAGGGAGCTGTGGCCACAATCTGTGCAAACAATGCCAGAATTTGGTTGCACTACAAAAGAGGATAGCCTCTGGACCACTACTGCCAGATGGTGGGAAGTGGCCCCATAGCCTACGTGCTCATTCAGAGGCTGAGCGAGACTTCTGGGGCAGGACATATCAACTAAGAGATACATACTTCTTCTTTATGTTGGGACAAAGTTTTAACACATCCTCCTTGCAGGCCATTTTGAACTTGTAAGAGAATCGAAAATCCTTCATCTGTACCTAAAACATGAGAAAAAAAATTAGCTCTGTGGAAAACCATGGTCAACAGCAATGGGTAACAGTGTAGCCATACAACTTCCAGAAACTGATCACAGGCCGAGGATGCAACTCAGTTCACAGAGTGGTTTGCTAGCAGGCACAACTCTAGGAGTGATTCCTAGCATCATAGAAACCTGGTGTGTTGGCACATGCCTATTATACCAGCACTTGGGAGATACAGCACAGGACAATTAAGAGGTTTAAGGTCATCCACGGCTACACAGCAAGTTTGACGCCAGACTGTTTCTGAGAACTTCTGCAATCTGCCGAGATCACATGGCTCCCCCTGTGACAGCACACTGGCCCCCGTCCTTCAAATCACACATCTGAACTCACTATGCCAAAAGTGTTACTCTGGCAGATCTTCACATAGTTTACACGGCCATTTCCTTTAGGATTCTATTTTTAATTCAATTTCTTAGGATCTCCTCTTGCAGTCCTTTCATTCCCCAACACCTGCTCTGGTTTTATTTTTCTTCTTGGAGCCACCCCAGATTTTGTGTTAATGGACTCTCTTGTTCTGGCATCTTTCTCTTACTAGAGTCTAGATTCTAGCACAGCAAGAGAGTCCATTAAAATAATGGAATGCAAGCATGTGGGCTACACGCTCTGAGAAGCAGTCAATAACCTCAGCTGACTAACCAATTATCCTCCCTGAACAAAGTGCTTGCTATATCAAACTTCCTTAGCTTCCTGTTACTACAAAGAGTATGGTACAGCCACATTATTCAAATGATTTAAGAAGAAAAAAGGGGGAGCTGGGCATTGGTGGCGTACATCCCAGCACTTGAGAGGCAGAGGCAGGCGGGTCTCTGAATTCCAGACCAGCCTGGTCTACAAGAGCTAGTTCTAGGACAGCCTCCAAAGCCTCAGAGAAACCCAGTTTTGAAAAACCAAAAAAGAAAGAAAAAAAGGGGGATATGTTGTGTAGGGATTTAGTTCAGTGGAAAACTGCTTGTAAGGGAGGCAGGCCCTGGTTTCAATCTCCAGCACACAGTGAGGGGAAGAAATAAAGAAAAGCAGATTAGAGCAGGAGCAGAGAGGAGCACAGTAGAGCAGAAGAAAGGACTCGGGACCCAGACTAGTGCACTGAACAGTTATACAAACAACAGACTCCAGGGACATTAAGTCGCACTTAATGTGAGCATTAACCCGGAGAAGGAGTGGCTTGCTCTCTTGTCTCTATCCTCTCTACAATGAATGTTCTCTATGACCATATCTCATTTGTCACTGAATGCTAAGGAACTGAGAAAAGTGCCTGGCCACAGTTAAGAAAAGTCACATTTATTGAGAGAAGTTCCAAATAGGGCACATGATTGGAAATAATGAGAAGAGCAGAACTGCTTGGTTGTTCCAAAGCAGGAAGATGCTCACTAATCACGCAGCCAACACAGGAAATCAACTGACCAGCTGGAAATGAGTGACTCCAATGGCACACTTCTCATTCATGTCCTTCTGGTGTTTGTTCTGTATCAGACACTCCATCAGGTCCCCAGAGTCTATCTGGTTGTCTGCCACATCCTGGGAGAGACAGTACACATTTACAGTTTATTTGTAATTATTAACAATACAATCTATAGTGCCATTCATAAAAAATGTGAATAGGAGTGATTCTAGAAACCTTCAAAAAATAAATACATCATAAATTCTTCAAAAATAAGCCTGAGAAACCAGGAAAGATAAAATTCGGCAGAAAATGCAAGAAGCAAGGACATCCACTGTGAGGACTATTACCTTTAGGGATAACACCTAGCTGTCAGATCTTATGGGTTACTAAATGTACTTCACTTCTACAATTTGGGTAAAAAGGGAGTAAGAAATAAAGTAAAAGAAGCTACTTGACATTGAGGTGTAAAAAGACAGCTAGAAAGGAAAGCTACTACCATTGCTAACAGTTCTTGAGAAGCAACTTGCCGAACCCTGGAGTTTCTCTCTTATATCTTTTCTTTTAAAACATTTTTTAACAAGTTTTATTTTTTAAAGATTTATTTCTTTATGTATGAGTGCTCTATCTGCATGCACATCCTTATACCACAAAAGGGCATCAGATCCTACTATAGATGGTGGTGAGTCACCATGTAGCTGCTGGGAATTGAACTCAAGACCTCTGGAAGAGCGGCCAGTGCTCTTAACCTATGAGCCATCTCTCCAGCTCCTGTTATCTCTTCTTATAAAGTCATCCCACCCACTGCTGCAAGCCACAAACCCGCTCATCTGCAGAGTGCTACTAACTGCCGGAATCAAGTTCTACAATCAGGCTTCCCCAAGCTGTTGGCCCCTTCCTCAATCTTGTTTACAGTTCCAACTTTCATTTGCTAAAGCTGCTTATCAGAATAGTTATGCTGAAGACAGAGGTGAACCCCACACCCTTGAGGCTCAAAGTCCCATTGAATTTGGTTCTGTTAGTAACCCGTGCTCCCCCAGACATCACTTACGTGGCAAAAGTTCTGAATAATAGGTTCACAGGCTCTCATTAGCAAAGCTTCTATTTGGATATCCTGTAGAAGAAGAAATAGATTAATCACTCTGCTTTATAAAAGCCAAGGATGGAGAAGGCTATTGTGTGTGTGTGTGTGTGTGTGTGTGTGTGTGTTGTGTGTGTATGTGATCCACCAGCTCCTCTGTCTAACTATGTATCACTAGCTTGAACTCACAGCCTGCCTTTGTCTCCTGAGTGCTGGCATTTAAGGCATGAACCACTATATCTGACAGACATCCTTTTATACACTTGAACAATGAAGAGGCATAATTAAGAAAAGGGAGATGATGTGCCAAGCCTTCTTTTTTTTTTCCTTTGGTTTTTCAAGACAGGGTTTCTCTGTGGCTTTGGAGGCTGTCCTGGAACTAGCTCTTTTAGACCAGGCTGGCCCGGAACTCACAGAGATCCACCTGCTTCTGCTTCCCAAGTGCTGGGATTAAAGGCGTGTGCCACCACTGCCTGGTGACAAATGCCTTTATCCCAGCACTCAGAAGGCAGGGACAGGTGGATCTCTGAGCTCAGGGCTAGCCTGGTCTATAAAATGAGTTCCAGGATGGCTAGGGCTACACAGAGAAACCCTGTCTTAGAAAAAAGCAAAGCAAAACAACAACAACAAAAACAAAAAACAAAAAAACAAAAAAACAAAAAAAAAGAGATGAAATATTTGGCAATAATATTAGAGCATGCAAATTCTTTAGAGTTTTTATTATCTCTGTACTTCTGAACAGTATTGTCTATACTTATGAGGCTTTTAAATCACATTTTGTATTTTAGTAGGTTTCAGGATATAACAGAGACAAATGTGTATAAAAGTGTCTCATATATAACTGGAAGTCCCAGGACTTTATCAGGCATACAGATAGCACACCAAAATTACTTCACTAAAAGAGCTTTAGGGGTAAGAGACTATCACTGCTTAGACTGCTTTTAAATGTGAATCAGAGACCTAAAGTGTAGAAGAAAAACCAAACAGCTAACTGTAGCGATAGCTTCTCTGGCGTTGTGACAGAAAGGGTCAGGACTCAGCACAATGTACTTCTGTATAAAGCAAATAGGGAAAGACTGATGATTAGGTTCTTTTGGCTGGCAAAGAATCTGTACTCTCATGAGTAAGGAAACAAAAGAGCTAAGTAATAAAGACCAGGTTGCTGGCAGCACCTCTCCCCCAGGGAGCTACTTATTACTTACCTCAGACTCTAACTCGGTGAGGTTGCCCACTATGTCTCTGCATTCCACAGCTAAGTCATCAAGATGATCCTGGAGGCACTCAAGCTCCTGAACATAAAAAGGCAAGCCCTTGCTGTTCAGTCATGTATGCAGATAAGGGAAGGTGGAACACCGTGTCTGCCTCCGTTGTACTTGCCTCCCTTTTAGACCACCTTACTAAACATCACAAAAGCTTTAACTAAGACGTAACCTGTTACTTGATGTAACACAGAAGTTGAGAGGGTCAAGTAGTACTCTTGAGTCATGCAAATTCAGAAGGCTAAAACTTACAAGTGCATAAGGAACTACCCAGGTATCTTTAACTTTAGCAGGCTATTAAAAAAATTATTTGATTGTTAAAGTGTTTTGCCTACATACATGTGTGCCACTTGCATGCCTTGAGGCAGCAGATAGAAGGAGTCAGATTCCTTGGAACTGGAGTTACAGATGGTTGTAAGCTACCACATGGGTGCTGGAAATTGAATTCATGTCCTCTGGAAGACAATCCAGTGCTCTTAACCGACAAGCTAGTTCTCTAGACCCTTTAACTACAGACTGTTATTACCTAAAGGGTATTTTGTCTGGGCTTTAAACGCTGGACTGATGCTGCCTTATATATAGCCTAACTATTCACTGTTCCTTTTAGCTGCTTAGGATTCTAAGTATAATACCAGGTCTGTTGCTGGAGTTTCTTGTCCTGATAGGTCCCACAGCTACTTCAGTCCCAAACAGACACACGGGCGCTAAATTAATTATAAAACTGTTGGCTGATGGCTAGGGCTTCTTATTGGCTAGCTCTGTCTTAATTCTAACCCATTTCTATTAATCTATGTATTTCCATGTGGTCTTGACTTGCCACAGAATGCGCAGACCTGTTACTCCATTGGTACTTCTCTGCCTCTCTCCCCAGCATTGTCCTCGTCTCCTAGCCCTGCCTATCTCCCTGCCTCTACTGGCTATTGGCCAAACAGTGTCTTATTCATCAACCAATAAGAGAAACATATATACAGAAGGACATCCCCCATCACCAGGTCACTCTCCTAAAGCTACCTAAAGCTACTTCTTAGCAGAGTGCTCTGTTAAAAGCTCGGGTTCAATATTCTGACCACTCTTCAGGAATCTGTTTTAGATGTAGAATAGGAAGAAGGACAGGAGAAGGATTGGAGGAATTACAACAGCCAGAACTGGAGAGGGGACGACTCAAAGGAAAATGCATCAACTTTCTGCAGGTAAGACAAACAGATAACAAGAGAAATGTATCCATGGAATCCATTCTTAGATTTAGTTTCACAGCCATGGGCCACAATGAGGTTGGGATTTCTGAAGATTTACCTTATAGAATGGTATGAATGAAACCTTTTCTGGGATTCTATAGCAACACATTTTTGTTCTTGTTATATTAGACAGAGGCAGCAGAAAGCTAAACGATAGGCATTTTCTAGTCATAAACCCAGATAGAACAGGCTCAGGAAACAAGTGATGAAATGATATTCTTGCAGCCAATAGCCTTGGTAAATAATTATGACATTTCTTAAAATGTCCAACTCCAACATGACTTTAATTCCAGCACTCGGGAGACCGAGGCAGGTGGATTTCTGTGAATTCTCTGTGAGTTCTTGGCCAGCCTGGTCTACAGAGCAAGTTCCAGGACAGCCAGAGCTACACAGAGAAAACCTCCCTTGAAAAACAAACAAACAAACAAAACAGAATGTCTAACTTCAACATGAGAGTTTTTTGGTGTGTCTCTGTATGGGACCCAGTAATTAGGGTTGCCCACAGAGGCTTAAATATGGGCTTATTTACAGAAGCATGGGCAATTTATGAGTGCCTATACTACTTGTATGACCCTAGCACACAAATGTCCAGGCTCCTCCCACAGAACCTTCTAAGGGCTATAACAGTGCCTTTATTTTTTCGAGACAGGACCTCACTATGCACACTAGGCTGGCCTCAAAATCAGATTCACCTGCCTTTGCCTCCTGAATGCTGGGATTAAAGGCGTGAGTCAAACCCAGCTGCGAAAGCTATTTTTGAACTGTTATCTTGTTTCTTCCTTCAAACTGTTCTGAGATTAAGAGCATGTGCTACCACTTCTAGCTGTGTGTGACTTTCAACTAAGTGGAAAATTACTACATTTCCATGCATCTTGTAAAACTGTCCTAGGGTAAGCACATTATCTATTGGTACATTCCAAAACATTTACATATATATATCACAAAATTCTCTTGCAATCACAAAAATTTAATGCAGCCTATAGATGTTAGAAAATAAATTTTAAAAACTAGAAAATAAAATGAGTTAAGATGAGGAAAGAAAAGGAAGATATGCTAAGGAAAATGGAATGCCTAGTACAAAAAATGCCTTCCACAAAAATCTTATGTACTTGTCAGAGCAGAACATACTCTGGCCCTAAGATTTCTTTCTTTCTAAAAAGTTTTAGATTTCTTTTAGTTCAAATACATAAGTGTTTTTCCTAAATGTATGCATGTATAACATATGCATGCCTGGGCCTGTGAAGATCAGAAGGAGGCATTGGATCCCCTGGAACTGGAGTTACAGATGGTTGTGAGCTGCTGTGTAGGTCCTAGGAATTGAACCTGGGACCTCTGCAAGAGTAACAAGTGCTCTTAACCTCTAAGCCATCTCCCCAGTCCCCTGGGTTCTAAACATTACACAAAGAGGAAAAATAACAACTCTAATAATAAAGAAACCATAACATTAAAGCAATGAAAAATATAACTATTCTTACATAAAAGCAAACAAACAAAAAACCCACACAAACAAAGAAAACTCTCTGATGGATTTCTTCTAGAAAGAAAACTGAAAATATAATAGATCACACCAGTAAACACTGAGATGAACTTCATCGGTACTTTATATTACATAGGAGTCCCTAACATTATGATTAGAGAAAGAAATGGAAGCTCGGTCACCAACCTGCCCAGTCTCTGTTTTCTCACTACACCATTTCCCAAGGTCTATCAGGCACTTATCCTGGAGGGCAGGATCCAGCTTAACATCCATGGCACGCTGGTGTAGGATCCTTTGTACTTCAGCTCGGCATTCTCGTGAAAGCTACATGAGAAAGAAGGTAACAAAAATAAATACACGAAATCCCTAGACAGAACACATCTCTTATCAGCAAACTAATAACGAGCCCTGTAGTTTACTCCCCAAACTTTATACCAAATTATATTTCCTAGGGTAAGAATGAAATGCTTTAGGGAGCTGTTGGAGGAAGTTCACATTTCTCCAAGCAGTTCTACAGTCAGCATTTTCCATTAAACTGTAAACATGGTGTCCTTTTCTGAGAGTACCCTGAAAAAAACGTGAATGACATCCGTTCAAAGTAGGGTTTTGCTTACTCTATGAGAATGGTAAAATATTAGATATGATTCAGGCAAGACTTATACATAAATGCTGAATGCAGGCAACAACATCAATTACACAGCTAGGAATGTATATTGGCAAATTACATAGAATGAGCAGAGTGTAAAAAAGGTGAATACCAATACTTTTGGATGCCCATAAAAGACACATACCCGAGGTAGGGCCTTAGTGGCTATGAGGTTTCATTTCATTTTTTAAAAAATTACATTTATTTTATTTATTTATTTATTTATTTATTTATTTATTTATTTGCTCGCTCTTGTGTATATAGTAGCTGTGCAAGTACCATGTGTGGATCAGAATACAAGTTAATAAGAGTCAGTCCATGCTTTTTATTATGTAGGCTATGGAGGCTGAAGTCAGGGCATGAGGCTTGGCAACAAGCTCCCTTCCAGAGTCACAGAGTATCTCGACAATATTTGTACAATACTGTGCAATACCAAATACCATTGATCTTTTTCCTTTAAAGGCCTGTAAAGGTATCTAAATTTTAATGTCACACAAGGGGTATGACGAGGTGGTTAGTGATAAAGGCACCTCTGCTGAGCTAGATGGTCCCTGGGACTCATGGTAAAAGAAGAAATGAACTTCTGCAAGTGTTGCCTGGTTTCTACCATGACAAGTGTCTGTGTGCATGTGAACACCAAATAAAAATGTAATAAAAAATCTAAAAAGTTAGCACAAGAGATTCTATTATATCTTTATTTACAAGTGAAAGAACCTTCTACTGTTGTGACTTGCCAGATACCAGGATATGGGAACATCTGTGATTAATGAGAAATACTATGTTTTCTGATGGAATAAAAAGCAGAATAAAAAATTGGGCCAGGCTTTTAGCAATTACAGTGTGATACTTTTTGACTGTATCTCCTGGTTCTGAATCCTAGACTGTTAGACTAGGCTCAGGAGGGTACCTGTACTCAGGTATATAAAGTAATAAAATAGTTACAGTCTGTAACACATGCAGAAATGACATTCAACTGGGTCTCAGAATGACAGTAAGCAGCATGTCTGTGTGGTACCAGAAGACAGCTAAGCTCACACAAATATCTCACCAAAGGGTGGCAACTGGGGCAGGAAAATGCCAAGAAGCTGGTATTGAAACTTGGGCTGCAACTAGTGCATTGCCAGAGAGCTCTCATTAATATAAAGACTTGTGTTTGGCTGCCAAAGGCAGAAGTCTAGAGAACCACTGGCTAAAAGCTTCTAATGGATCTTTAAAGCTAAATAAAGTTAGAACAGCAGAATTTAATTGTCCATTTGTGATTTGTATTTTGGAAATTTAGAGAGCAAACCTGGAAATGTTTCCCCATATACTTTGTTTAAAACAAACAAACAAAAAACCCAACACACAGAAAAGAAACTGGTGGACAACTCTATCAACAGGGATACTCACTGGATGATTCTGTTTCTAGTAGTACAACACCCTCCCATCCCACCACATACATCAGAAAGGCTTCCTTGTGATGGCAGACATCAGAACAATAGGTAGGAAACAAACGGCACTAGGAAGAAACCAAGGTGACAGCATACCCTTCTTCCCTGTTCTTCTGTACGGTAGGCATGTCTATATAAGCAAGAAAACACCGCTCCAGGAGGCATAAGTTCACTGGTTTCATTCCAACCATGGGTATGGCAAAGGCGAGAAGCATCTCCCTGGCATTTTCGGTATAAAACAGGGTCCAACCTAGAAGGTTAAAAGTGAAAAGAGAAGCACTACTTCCCATATTGTCCAACTTCCAAAGTAGTGGTGATTAGGGATGCTTGGCATCCCTACAGACTGGCAGTGGGTTGACTCTGCTTTTAGATACTGCTTTACAAGTCATAAGAATAGGTTTTCTGGGGGTTGGAGATAGCTAGCTATTCCAGAATTTGAAAGAATCTAATTTGTTACTGATTATCATAAAATATAAAATACAGAAGTGGGGTATGGGGACACACTTGGTAGAGGAGTATATGCTCTCTAAGTATGAAGCTCTGGGTTTAAAAACACACGTGGATTGGTGAGATGGTTCCACGGTTAAAGCACTTTATGGTGCAAGCCTCGTGACCACAGTTTGATCCTCAGAGCCTATGTAAGAGTGGAGGGAAAGGAATGGATTCCATCAAGTTGTCCTCTGACTCCCACATGCTCACTGTGGCAAACAAACTCAAACACATTATGCATAGGTACATACTGCTAAACTAATAAATTCTTCCCCACATGCACATCCATCCACTTGATACTGACCACACAAGGAGACAGAATGAAGCAATGCCTTCCTCTGGATTTAACATACTCACTTCCAATCCCGAGAGATAAAATACTGCAGCTCTAAGAGTCGGTGTTCACAGTCTTCCACCATTTTCTCTGTATATAAATGTTCCATCAGACATGAGAGAATCCTGGTCATAACAGAGGTAAAATTTTAATGAAAGAAACACTCTGATGACAGGCTCCAAAAATCTCATTTCAATACAGTATTTCCCTAGGGTGACATGATTTACTTTTCTGAGAATCACACAAATTAACTTTACAGCAATCATTTCTTCTACCAGCTTTAAGTCATTTTGCACTTCAAATTCTGCATACATAAGATCTATGTAGCAGTTTTGTTTTTAATCATTTACTATGAAAACTATCCAATATATATAAGAGTAGAAAACAGTATACTGACTACTTTCCCGTCCTGGACCTCCTGTGAACCTATAACCAAATTTGTTTTAACTCAGTGTCTCTTGCTGATAACTGAGGCAATTCTCAGTAAAAACTTCAACCTATTTCTCTAAAATTTGAGATCATATCCTCAGCAACAACAAAAGGCAAATCCTTTATATAAAATAAAATCCTGTCGTTCTCTCCCTCAAATATTTTCAACTATCTCATGTCTTTTTAAATGTTTGTTCAAATCAAGACTTGCACGTAATGTAAGTGTTGGAGGCGGAGAGATGTGTCAGTGTTTAAGAACACTGATTTCTCTTCAACAGCATGCAACTCAATTCCCAGCACCTCCATAACTGCTCTGGTTCCAGGGAATCTGATGCTCCCTTATAGACACTGTGTGCTACCAGGCAAGCAGGTAGTTCACAGACATGTATGCTGGGAAAACACCATATACATAAAACGCATCTCCTTCTTTTCCCCTGCCCCTTTTCTGGTTGACACAGTTATTATACTATAAACACCCTCAGTTTAAGTATGTGTGTATACCTCTTTTATAAACATAAAAAGCTTTAAGCAAGAATTCCATTCTAATTCCCTACTGCGACATGAGTAATGGGAGCTTTCACATAGAAGAACGGTGATAAACCCTGACTGCATTCACTTTATTGTTAGGCAGTGCCAGACACAAGCTATAAAGAGTTATGTAAGTCAGCAGAGGTGACACATGCCTTTAAGACCAGCACTCAGGAGGCAGGCAGGCAGGCAGGCAATCTCTAAGTTGAGGTCCACAAAGCAAGTTCCAGGATAGCCAGGGCTATACAAAGAAATATTGTCTAGAAAAACTAAAAAAGAAAACAAAAATCCTAACAAACAAGAAACAAAAAAAAGTTATGTAGAACAGGAAACCTGTTCTTATTTGCAATCTGTTTTTAGGACCTGTTTTCATATCATATGGAATAAAACGAAGGAAAATAAAATATTTTACATTAATTTGAATATTTAATTAGCTTTCTGATATCTTGGATAAAATGCTACTGTTCAGTTTTCCTGTGACCATAGCTTCTAAATATCACATCTTGTCTTTGGTCTCAATTATGATCAACTGCTTTCTGACGATTTTCAAGTAGCCAATCTACAAAAAGATTAAAAGGATAGAGTGTCAATGTACAATGTCACTCTGCCCTATATAAGGTTACTTAGTGACTAAGAGAGGTTCATATATGCCAAGACATTGTCAACAAATACCATCACAGCTCTGGGTTTAAATGTCTCTTTATCATGGATGAGGCATATCAGAAGTCTCAATTTCATTAGTTTTTAACAAAAGTTTGGTATGTGTCACTGTTCAACAAAATTACAGTCAAGATGTTAAGCTACTCAAAGGTCATTTGAGGGAATGTTCTCTATGCTGCCAAACACAACACATGGATAGCGCCACAAGAGACAGAACCTACATTGGGTCTCCGGATCGTATGTGTTTGCAGGCTGTCTGTATTACAGACTCACAAGCTTCATTCAAAGCTCGGTCAATGCGGTAGTCTGCTCCAGGGTCAGTCTCCTGAATCAGTGTCTGAAGCTGGGTTGGAAAGACAAAGTAAATTAGGTCCAGAGAAGAGCAATGTCATATCATTAGATGCTCAGTACAGCACATCACAACACATTCTAAACAAGGCTCTACAAATGTTACTGGCCCAAGTTGAAAAGTTCTGATGGAACATTTTCCAATTATTTCTCTACTTGCTCCAGGTTTTCTGTTGAAGTCACTGTGGCACTTGCATATTTACCTGGTTTGACCCTTCACTGGGCATCCGCAAACAAGTCTATACAGGCTCCCTCCTGACTAATCAGATTTCTCAACTTGCTGCTTAGAAGGAAGCCAGAGTTGAAATGAGCAAAAGACAGGTCCATGTAGAGACCAATTTGATCCTAGCAAGGCTATAAATTTCACCAAAATGACATTGGTATATAACAAGTACACTATGTTTTATTAAGGCAGATGTGAGGGATTTCAATTAATTCACAGCTGGAATTAGAAAACAAGAATGTGCTGGGCAGGTGATGGCACACACCTTTGATCCCAGCACTGAGGAGGCAGAAACAGGATTATCTCTTTAAAGGCCAGCCTGGCCTACAGAGTGAGTTAAAGGACAGTCAAAGCTACACAGAGAGACCAGTCTTGAAAAACAGACAGAATGACAGACAAAAAAAAAAAAAATAAGAAAAGAAAACAAGAATTGTTATAATTTCTTACTTTTTGCCAACTATATTTATACAATAAGAATCACAAATACTTGTTGTATCTGGAAACTGAGAATACACTCTACATCTACTTTTGCTTGGCCCATCCTTTGTTGTGGACTAAAGGCAGGAAACACGCACCTCAGAATGGTTCTGTTCCCGTGTAACATCAGCTCTGAGAACGGGACAAGTTCATCTGACTCTGGGTTTTCACACTACCTCTATTTTCTCCTGGATTTTTATTTTATGAATATGAGTGTTTTGCCTACATTTTGTCTGTGCAACCCCTGGAGGCCAGAAGAGGGTGTGAGATCCTCAGGGAGTAAAGCTACAGATGTTTTAAGGAATAATGTGGGTGCTGGGAACTGAACTCGGATTCTCTGGAAGAACAGCACGTGCTCTTAATCCAGAACCATCTCTCCAGCCCAAAACACTTCAGTCCTTTAAAATGGAGATTTTTGTTGTTGTTGTTTTTTTGAGACGGGATTTCTCTGTGTAGTCCAAACCATACTGGAACTTGCTCTTTAGACCAGGCTGGCCTTGAACTCAGAGATCCACCGTCCTCTGCCTACTGAGTTCTGGGATTAAATGTGTGTGCCACCACTACTCCAGCCTTAACTGTAGGTTTTAAGAAATGTCCAAGCATGATGGTACACATCTGTAACAACAATACTCAGGTCAGAGACAGGCAGACCTGTGTTGAGTTCAAGGCCAGCCTGTTTAGAATTCCAATATATATGAATTCCAAGACATTCAGGGATACACAGTGAGATCCTATCCCAAAACAAACAAACACAGAGAGTCAAATGAAAAAAGGTAAATTGCAAAGCATTATAGACAGAATATCATTATTACTACAGATAGGTGGCATATGGGGTTGAGTGGAAATCTTAAAAGAGAGAAAGAAAAACAGAAAATTAAAACCTTTACTGGTTTAAGTTCTTTTTTTACCTCCTTAGGAATTGAACAGTTTTTGGGCTCAGAGGTTAAGAGCACTAACTGCTCTTCTAGAGGTCCTGATTCAATTCCTGGCAACTACACAGTGATTCATAACCATCTATACTGGGATCTGATGCCCTCTTCTGGTATAAGGGTGTACATGCAGATAGAGCAATCAAAAAGAATCAGGGGCTGGGTCATGGTAGAGCACACCATAATTCCAGCACTAGGGAGGCAGAGGCAGGTGGATCTCTGAGTTCAAGGCCAACCTGGTTTACAGAGCAAGTTCCAGGACAGCTAGGGCTATATAGAGAAACCCTGTCATGAAAAACAAACACACAACAAAACAAAACAAAATAGCCAGGCAGTGATGGCACACGCCTTTAATCCCAGCACTTGGAAAGCAGAGGCAGGCGGATCTCTGTGAGTTCGAGACCAGCCTGGTCTACAAGAGCTAGTTCCAGGACAGTCTCCAAAGCCACAGAGAAACCCTGATGGGGGGAAGTCCTTCTGTGTACATGTTGTTCTATTGGTTGATTAATAAAGCACTGTTAGCCAATAGGGAAGCAGTCCAATTGCTGGGGTGAGAGAGCATGGGCTGACCTCCGTCAGTCATAATTCAAGACAACCTAACAGTTGGTGATTGTAGTAAATTTGGAGGAGCATATATTCATTAAGATAATAATTACCATATGCTTTATAGCTCAGTGCTTGCTGATGACTGTTAGCAGGCCACTAAATTAATCCAAGCAGAGATGAAAAAAATTAATGGTCAATTACAGGTATTGAAGTCTGCTGTGTCAAGGAAGAAAACTTTCAAACTGAAAAGAAATCCACCTAAATTGCTTTAAAGCATTCCCCAGTTTAAGGATGAATAGCATAGAAGACTAAGGAAGACCATCCCTTTGGAAAAATGCCTTTAGTTTTTAATGGGGAAAAAAAAAAAAAGCTTAAAACAATCCATACAATAAAAATGAAGTGTTTCTTTCCTAAGCTAGTCTTATTGTAGTCAAAACCACGTTTGTGGCTACCCTCTGGACTTGGAAAGTACTTTTTCTGGGCACAAAGGGTGATGTGGGTGGTACTTATTTATCTTTGAAGCTGAGTCACTAGTTCTTTGAACAAGCTAACTTTCAGAAAGCCTGGGGAATGAACTATGTGCCTTAAAGCAAAAGTTGAGTCCAGTCTATTTTCTTTTCCTGAATACTTTACAGCAGGTGTAGGCTGAGTAGAAATGGATTTTTCCCCTATCCACCTTCTACAACCTTTCTGGCTGGAATTCAGGATGAAAGCAATACAGCAGAGGCCGCCTCCTGAGTCATCCTGGATTATAGCCGGGCATATTCATTGGCATGGAGGGCAATTAGGGAAACTGCCATCAAGGAGACTACAGAGGAAGTAATCTTCAACAACTCAGTCCACAGCAGGCTGCAGAAGCCTTCCTTCCAGCTGGTTTTTCCATTTTAGAGAAGCAGCTACAGCGTCTTTTTATCCCACCATAAGATGCACTGTGTAGCTACACAACGCTGTCTACTCTGGGTCAGGGTTAACAGAAGCTAAGGTGAAATTTTACTCTATACCCAAAGTTTATGTAAGCTTGTGTTTCAGACTACCAAATTTTGCTACAGACCGAAATTCTTATTTTTATATGATTAGCTAAAAAAATAAAATTCAAGTAATATTTAGTTTTTAATAAAAAATACCAAAAAGTATAAAATGAATTGTGGTTTTCTTTTCTTTAGTAATTTATTTTTATTTTATGTGCATTGGTGTTTTGCCTGCATGTGTGTCTGTGTGAGGGTGTCAGATCTTGGCGTTACAGGAAGTTTTGAGTTGTCCGGTGGGTATTGGGAATTGAACCCGGGTCTACTGGAAGAACAGTTAGTGCTCTCAATTCTTGAGCCACCTCTCCGCCCCAAATCATGGTTTTCTAAAGCGATGCTTAGGTTACAAAACCAAAATATCTTTTGTGTTTTAGCAGGGCAGTGGTGGCGCACACTTTTAATCCCAGCACTAGGGAGGCATAGGCAGGCAGATCTCTGAGTTCGAGGCCAGCCTGGTCTACAAAGTGAGTTCCAGAGCTGTTACACAGAGAAACCTTGTCTTGAAAAACAAAACAAAACAAAACAAAGTATGTTTCATGCTTCATAAAGGGAAAGTCATTGTAAAGGGTGTTACTGTTGTATCTGATATTCTAAATTGCACAAGAATTTGTTATCCAATAAAAAGAAACATGGACAAAGGGAATGAGACGAAGGCCCTATATTTCGTTGACCTATATTATGATCTTCAGTTATTGGACTGTTTATGAACACTAGATTGAGAGTCACTGTATTTTCTCCCAACAACCTCTACATCCTTCCCTGTAAAGTTTGGAGCTGGTGAAAGAAAGACCTTTCTATTCATAGTTGCCCTGGTTTAATTAATAAAGATAACGTGATTCTGAAAATGATTCAGGCTTGTGGCATGTAAGTAAAAAAAGAAACTGCCAGAAATTTTCCATTCATGTCAGCTCTCAATTTCAACTCAATCAAACTTGTTAAGACAGGCAAGTTCTCTTCTGCTAACAGTCTTCCTTGATTTTGCAGAAACTAATTTTCCTTTATCCTGCATTTAGTAATCCAATCTGGCAAGTTCTTTAGAAGCAGGAAAACAATACATTGTCTTTACCCAACTCCAGAGCTGTTTTTATCAATCACGAATTCAAGCTTTGTTGTGTAGTAACTTCTATATCCTAATTAAAACCTGCTCATAGGAACAATATTTTTATTGATTGTGATGCCAGAAGTAATCCAGAGAAACTGCCTGACAGGGAAAGGTTCCTTGGTTGGTAAAATGTGACAGCTGTTCTGACTAGTTTTATATCAACTTGACACTTAGACTCAATGGAAAAAAATGCCTCCATTAGATCAGGTGCATGTAAGCCTGTAGGGCATTTCCTTAATTAGTGATTGATGTCAGAGGACCTAGGCCATTGTGGATGGGGCCACCCCTGGGAGGTGGTCCCGGGTTCTATAAAAAAGTAGGCTGAACAAGCCACAAAGGGCAAGTCAGTAAGAAGCAATCCTCTATTGGCCTCTGCATCAGCTCCTGCCTCCAGATTGCTGCTTGAGTTCCTGCCTTGACTTTGTTCAATAATGAACTATGATGTGAAAGAGTATTTAAAATAAACCCTTTTCTCCCCAGGTTGCTTTTGATTATGGTGTTTCATCACAGCAATAGTAACCTAAAACAGTTGTCAAGGTGGCAGCAGAAATATTTTTCCTTACCGCCTGCTGGCAGTTCATTCCGAGGTTCCCTTTTTCACCCCGAATTACTTTCATCAGACAGTGGAGCGTTCGCCCTTTGCGATGTAATCCAGAACAGTGGTGTTCAATCTCCCCTCGGCAGCTCAGGATGATCTCAGGGCTCAGAGAGAAATCTTCCATCAGCATACGTCGGTAATCTAACATCTCCCCTTGGCACTCACTGCTCACTTGTCGCCCTATGGTAGGGGTAAGTCATAAAGTTAGGAAAAGTGAGCTTGAGGACCAGTAGTCTCTATGCATAAAAGCATCTTTCTGGATGGAATTAATATCTACCCTGAATGCTTAGAACTTGGCAAAAGCTTCAGCAGCATAAAGCAAACTTAGTATCCAGAGAACCAGGTTTATCCTGCAGAGTTGTACATTACAGAGCTTATGAATAATGCAAACGTCTTGCCAAAAGAAGCCCCTTTTTTTCTTTACTTTTTTGATGTGAGGGGGTGAACTCATGGCCTCATTCATGTTACACAGCACTTAGCCACCGAGCTACATCTTCACAACCCCAGATGTCTTATCAATAAGAAAACTATTAGGGGCAATAAATAAACCCAGAGAACAATCCCTATTGCCCTAAACAGCTAAAGTTTGTGAAAAAAACCAAAAAACGATCCTTCAGATATTCACTACAGTTCCCCCATTTATAGTTCTTTGAGCTAGAAATGTGATGATGGAAAACTGAGAAAAAAAAGCAACAACCCCCAACCCCACTACCCCACTCCGCCAATCTAAACACATAAGTTACCCAGCCAGTTAGTTTAGTGACAGTCATAATCTGAAGTCAGATCACTCTGACCTAAAAGTTATGTAATGTTAACCTACTCTTCTAAAGAACGCTTCAGCAGCCATTCTACAAATTAAAAGGTCTGAAGGAAACTACGAATTACAGATACAAGAAGCTTCAGAATGGGAACTGGGAAAGGAGTGAGAGGGGCAGAGGAAATGAAGCGTCACCTCTGTGTACAGCTGACTCCAGGCACATCAGGAGGTAGGAGAGCCTAGCTTCCCGGGACCGAGGAAGGTTTTCCACATTGCACCGGTATTTCTTCAAGTCACTCTTACAGGATTTGGCCAATGAATAACTGACTTTATAGTCCTGAGCAATGAGCTTTTGGCGTGTAGTTAGTGCTTCTCTACACTGAGGAAAGAGTGTAAGGATAATGAGACCACTTAACACGCTTCAGCTATCTGATAAGCAGAGTCTCAGAACTGTGCTTGTCAACAACTGCACTTTTTACCAAAATGCCTATCTGTAAGTTTGTTTAAAATCTGGCTCTAGGTGAGTTCTAGGACAGCCAGGGCTGTTACAAGAGAAACCCTGTCTCGAAAAACAAAACAACAACAAACAACAAAAAACCAAACAACTGGCTCTAGGGTCTGGAAATAAGATTCAGCAGTTAAGAGGACACAGGTTCCATTCCCATCATCTATATGGTACCTCACAGCATCCCATCAAGTCCAGTCCTAGGGACTCTGAGCCCTCTTCTAACTTCTGCCCGCATGCACATGGTGCACATACACACACGCAAGAAAAACATTCACACATAAAAATAATAAACAGTGCACTCAGGAGGCAGAGGCAGGAGGATCTCTGTGAGTTCTAAGCCAATTTGATCTACAGAGTGAGTTCCAGGACAGACTCCAAAGCTACAGAGAAACCCTTCTGGAAAAAATCAAAAATAAGTAAGTAGAGAGATAAAAAATAAACAAATAGTATGAAGAGGCCTAGGAGTAAATCAAGGGAAGCTCTAGAATCTGGTGGTGAACTGTTAGGCAGCTGTTGCTAGAAGGGCAGCATACAGATGTGGTGGGTCATAATACACTAAGTACTCTTTCTTCTTCAACCACATTCCTGGTACAAACTTCACAGCACTCAAGTCACAGCTGATATTATATTTGCATATTCTGTTGAATAGAACTTTCTACTTACTCTGAAGAAAAAAAATACTTGAGTTGTATAAAAAAGCAAAAGATAGAATTGCAAAATTAGTTGCTTTTCAAAGTGTTAAAAAGATTCTTGTATCTATTTAGTGACAGAACTAAAGGTAATAAGAGCATTTAAGGAGGTAATACTGAAAAATTAAACAACTGACTACCTGTGAAGGATATTAGTATGGCTAGCCCACACTCCCTGAGTATGTAGAACTGACATTAATGTAGTTCTGATTTTAAAATTTCTCCAATTTTACTCTCAAATGACTTCTCACTGAGTAAGCATCACATAATTCAAACTCCATTGCTTGCTTTAAGACAAATTTGTTTTGTTGTTGTTTTTTTAATTTATTTACTTTATGTGTGTGTGGGTACACTACAACATGTATGTGGAGGTCAGAGGACAATCTGCAAAGGTTGAGTTTCTCTTTCATCATGTGGGTTCTAGGATAAACTCCGGTCATCTATCTGGGTGGCAAGTTCGTTTATCCTTTGAGCAATATTGCCAGGCCTTACTTGCTTTTTAAGATGGAGTATCACTATGTATCCAGACTGGCCTCAACTTCAGATCCTCCTACCTTAGCCTTCTGAGTGAGGGTATCACAGGCATGTACCACCACATCAGGTGCCCAAATATACTTTATGTACTTAAACAAAAGTCTCAACTCTGGAGGGTATATGCTTTATCAGTCATTCATACCTTGGTAAAGTCAGTTCTGTAGATTCACAGATTGGAATCATTTTGGAAAAAGAAAATTGTGTTTGTACCAATTATATACAGATGATCTTCTAGTCATTATCCCCTAAACAATGTAACACAGCAACTATCATTTTAACAACACATCATCCACATTGTGTGAGATATATATGTATATAGATTACACACACACACACACACACACACACACACACACACACACACACACACACACACACACACACGCACGCACGCTTTGGTTTTTCAAGACAGGGTCCCTCTATGTAGCCCTGGCTGTCCTGGAACTCATGTTGTAGACCAGGATGGCTTCAAACTCAAGAGATTTACTTGCCTCTGCCAAGTGCTGGGATTAAAGAAAGGTGTTTGCCAAAATCACCAAGAATGTGAGTTATTTTAAGCAATCTAGACACTTAAAGGTCACAGGAGAATGTTCATAGGTTGTTATACACACACTATGCTATTTTATATAAGAAACTTGACTGACCACCCTCTGCTACTTGGTATGTGGAGTGTTTTGAAATCAACCCTTTGGAAAGACCACAAAAGAACTGTGTAAGAGAGTGTGACGCAAGCCAGGAGTGGTGGCATATGTTAATCCCAGAACTTGGGAGGTAAAAGAAAAAAGGATCAGTACGTCAAGGCCACCCTTGGCTCCATATTGAGTCTGAGGGGGGTCTGGGGTGTGAGGCTGTGCTCCAGAAACAATCACCCTAACCTAAGTCAGAAAGAAACAAGAGAGAGCTCATTCGTTGAGGCGCTATGAAACCAGTAAAACAATAGTCCTTCAATGTGGTACCTTTTCACTCATGGATTCTTCAAATTTATGGTTAAAAAGACATTTATATACTCTTCCTTCACCAGCTTGCGTCTGTAAGATAAAACATACACATTATTACTATTAGCTAAGTAGTTATCCTATGACATTCCCAGTCTTACACAGAACCTTTACTAAAAATTCAAAATGGCAGGCAGAAAGGGAGAGCACACAGGTCACTCAGTTCTTTGCTGAGATCAGTGAAGTGTGTACAAAGCTCAGGGTCTAGAATTTATAAGTTACTACATTCAATCCTCATTACAGAAAAAAAGAAGAAGGAAGCAAAGGAAAGAAAAGGAAGGAAGCAGGCAGGAAATGTAGATAGATAGGGACTAAAAGTTGTCTCATGAATCAATAGGCTCTATCCCAGGGTAAGGTTTTAAAGTTAGATAACATTGTTTGTTTGAGACAGGGTTTCTCTGTGCAGCCTTAGCTGTCCTGAAACTCTGTAGACTAAGTTGCCTTCAAACTCACATGATCCCCCCGTTTCTGCCACTACACATGGCTACCATTTATTTTACTGACCTTAATCAAAACCACATAAAAATGTTATGTATCAGAGCTTCAGCCATAGGACATGAATAGGACTTCCTGGTAAGCAAAGATTCTTATAAATAAATTAGATTTCCCTCTTTCTTTCTCTTCCTTTTTTTTGGGGGGGGGGAGATAGGATCTCTCTATATAGTCTTGGCTGTTCTGGAACTCTATAGACCAAGGTGGCCTCAAACTCAGAGAGATGCCAACTGCCCCTACCTCCTGAGTGCTGGGAATAAAGGTGTTCACCACCAACACACTGCAGATAAAATAGGCTTTCAAGACCTGAAATTGTGTCTAGCATGGTAGCCCATGCCTTTAATCCTAGCACTCGGAAGACAAAGGCACATGGATCTCTATGAGAATAGCATGGGCTATATAGTGACTTCCAGGACAGCCAAGGCTATATAGACAGAACCTGTCTTAAAAAAGAAAAAAAAAAAAAAAGAGAGAGGAAAAAAAACAACAAAAAACAGAACTAAAATTACAAGATGAGAGAAAGCAGAAAGTGCTAAGATTGTCAGAAACCAATGTTAGTTAGATGTTACATCTTCAAGACTGAGCATTCAATACTATTTTTTGCATCTTGGAACCAATTCCATCTTCTACTTTAGTGGCTTTCTTATTTGTGATGGTGTATCTCATTCTGGAATACAGTACTACCGATATTTAAAAAGAAAGGAAAAACAGCTTCGCAGTGACTCACATTTTCACAAAAGCGCTCCCGATCATCTCGGCAAGCAAAATACAAATGCCGGTCCAAATGAAAGTCGTCTGAGGACAGCTCGGCCACACGGAGAATGGCTTTCTTGCAGAGTTCAGACACTTGAACCTTGGGCTCTTTTTCTTCTGCTTCTCTCACCAGGCCCTTTTCCAAACATGATACCACCTCACCTTGTGAATGTGCATCCTAAAACAGTAACGACATTTTAACACTTTCACCATACAGGGATTAAATAAACACTTGTTTGAAAAAGTTTTATTTATTCGTATGTGTGCATCTGTATTTACATATATGTATGGAGTCCTGAAGGAGTCAGAAGGCATCAGATCCCCTGGAGCTGGAGTTATAGAGGTTTAAGAACTGCCTAACACTGGTGCTGGGAACTGAATTTTGATGTTCTGCGAGAGCAGTAAGAGCTCTTAACCAGAGTCATCTATCCAGTGCCAAAGCCCTAGGAATTTTGGTATAGCTTAGCACTAAAAATTAGGTCTTGAACTTTTATATTTTTATGGTTTAAATGTCAGGACCCACCCCATTAAAACAGTAGGCTTTAAATTTTTCTAATTATATTATTTAGTTTGTATATGTATGGGCATACATTCTTAAGAAATGACACTAACCCATTGTTATGAACAGTTTATGTTGATACAGAAATAACACTGCAGATGCATCTATTCACTCACCTCTAAAAGTTAAATTTTTTCCAATAGTGCTTTCAGTCAAGTTTGAAAGACAACAAACTGATGGGTCCGGTGAGATGACTCAGTGGGTAAAGATTTGCCACCAAACCCTATTCCCTGAATTCAATCCCAGGTATAGACATGGCAGGAGAGAAATGACTGTCCCACGTTTTCCTCTGACCTCCATGTGTGCCATCACACAAAGGGGGCTGGGGAGGAGACAGACTGAGAGAGGAAAACAAACAAGCACTGGGATTCGTGAGGTCACAGGCATGGGCGGAACACCACACTCAGTTACCTTTCTTCCTTCCTTTCTTTCTTTCTTTCTTTCTTTCTTTCTTTCTTTCTTTCTTTCTTTCTTTCTTTCTTTCTTTCTTTCTTTCTTTCTTTCTTTCTTTCTTTCTTTCTTTCTTTCTTTCTTTCTTTCTTTCTTTCTTTCTTTCTTTCTTTCTTTCTTTCTTTCTTTCTTTCTTTCTTTTTCTGTTTTCTGAGACATGGTTTCTCTGTGTAGCCCTGGCTGTCCTGGAACTCACTCTATAGACCAGACTGGCCTCGAACTCACAGAGATCCACCTGCCTCTACCTCCCAAGTGCTAGAATTAAAAGATGAGCCACCACCACCCGGCCCAGCTATCTTTCCAAAATAAAGATATCTGCAAAGTTACTCTGAGTTCCTATGCTAGTTGGTTCTGTCCATTTAGTAAATGAATTATATACAAATATTCGACAATGATGGAAATGCAGCTCAGTGGCAGAGTGCTTATCTAGTATACACAGGGAGGGAAGGGCGTGTGTGTGTGTGTGTGTGTGTGTGTGTGTGTGTGTGTGTGTGTGTGTGTGTGTGTGTGTGTGTGTGTCACTGTAAAGCCTACTGGGCATGTTTTCACTAACTTGGAAGTAGAAGTAGGAGGATCAGGTGTTTAGAGCTAGCCTTGGCTATACAGTAAGGTAGAGGACAGTTGAGGATGTGGCTTAGATAATAGAGTATGTAGCATACGAAAGGCTCTAGGTTCCATCCCTGGGACTATATAAATCACAGGGTGACACAGTCTATAATCCTATCAAAAGTTGAAGCAGAAGAATCAGGAGTTCAAGGTCAGTTTCTGCTACTGAGCAAGTTCCATGCCAGCCTGTGCTACATGAAGCTTTGTTTTAAAAGGGGGAGGGGATGATGGAGAAATGGCTCAGCAGTTAAGAACACTGGTTGCTTTTCCAGAGTCTGGGTTCAATTTCCAGCACCCACATAGCAGCTCCCAACTGTCTGTAAGTCTAGTTCAAGGGGATCTAACCCCTTCACACCAATGCACATTAAATAAAGTTTAAAAAGAAAGAAAGAAAGCAGGTAAAGTACTTGCTGTGTAAACACGAGGACCAGAGTTGGGATCCTCAGGACTCACATAAAGGCCAGGTGGACACAGTGGCCCATCTGTAATCCCAGCCTTCTAGAGGTAGAGAAGAGATCCCTACCTAGACTAGATGCAAAAGTAAGCTTGGAGTTCAAGTAAGAGATACTGGCTGAAGAAGACACCAATATTCTGTCCCCCATGAATGGACATACATATACCCATACAATCATGAGCAAGCATACATACATGAATATACATTATATATACATGCAAAAAAACCCTACCAAATGTTATATATATATATATATGCATACATACATATATATAATGTTCAGAATTATTATTTTGTGGAGACAGGGTCTCACTATGTAGCTCTGACTGTCCTGGAACTCACTGTGTAGACCATGCTGGCCTTGAATTCAAGAGATCTGCTGGCTTCTACCTATGTGCTGGGATTAGAGGGATATACCAACACACTCAGGAAGATTTCTTTAATATGCAAGGAGCTAGAGATTTTTTTTTTAGACAGGGTTTCTCTGTGTTGTTTTGGAGTCTGTCCTGGAACTCACTGTGTAGACCAGGCTGGCCTCAAATTCACAGAGATCCACCTGCCTCTGCCTCCCACATAAGTGACAGGATTAAAGGTGTGTGCCACCACACCTGGCTGCAGATTAAACCAAGGTACATGTGTGCGTGCGTGTTGGGGGATGGACTGCACGTTGTCCTTACACTTATGTGAAGGTCAGAGGACAGCTTATGGTAGCCAGTTCTTTCCTTCCTCCACGTGGATCTAGGAAATTGCACTTGGGTCATAGGGCACAAATGCATTTACCTTCTGAGCCATTCTACCAGACACCACCACCTGCCCAATTTTTAAAAAAGGACTTTTTCTACTTTAAATTGTGTGTGTGTGTGTGTGTGTGTGTGTGTGTGTGTGTGTGTGTGTGTGTGTGTGTGTGTGTGTGTGTGTGTAGGGGACTATACATGTGAGTGCCAGTGCATTAAATCCCCCGGAACAGGAGTTAGATGTGAGCTGAGTGACATGGATGCTGAAAACTGAATTCAGGTCCTCTGTAAGAGCGGCAAATGCTCTTAAATCCCAATAAATTTTTATTAATTATATAAAACCACACACACACACACACACACACACACACACACACACACACACACACACACACACACACACGGAAAAGACCTGTCTGAAACACTCACTGTCTTCATAAGTATTTAGAAATCTGATGAGTATTTTTTCTTCCTCTCATTCCTTGTCCTTCAACCACCACCCCTAATTTCAGATAAGAAGAAGAGCTGCCCCTTTTCCTTTGTACAAACAATTCTCTAGTCTGAAGTTCCTGATGTCTCCTGTAATGACTTTAGTGGCCTGAGGAAAAGACTTTTGAACTACTCAAGGTAGCTGATTAAAGGCGGGAACTACTAGAATGATACAGGAACAGAGTGCAGCAGCAGGGGCACTGCAGCACAGGTCCACAACTGACCCATTTGACAGTCGCACCCACTTTCCCTCCAGGGTGAATCACTTCTACTTCTGCTTCTGGAAACTTGCCCTTTCATTCTGACATTTACTTAGAAAATGCAAAAGGTTTTGATAATGTACCTTCTTTGTTCTAAAATTCATTTTGGGGAAAAATCACTAAGGCAAACATTTATGATATTGTTTTACATATACAGAGGAAGGATGAAGACGGATCAGTCACGAGTCCTTTCCTCTCTGATCCTTGCAGGCCACTTTCAGTGGCAGCAAATTTGAAGTGTGGCCCTTGAGGATTAAACGTGCCTGTGACCCTAGAGGAAATTACACTGGGTGGATAGTGTTTTTTTTTTTCCTATGAGGTAGGCTGAGCCCATATCTCTGCACTTAAACCAAAGAAAACCTGGCATGTAAATACGGACCTAGTATGAACAGAAATTTTCCTTAATTGGTAGCTATATCAAAAGATTAAAAAGAACTGGGTATGTTGGTACACATCTATAATCCTATTATTTGGGAAATTAGCTTAGGCTATATACATACATATTTGTCTCAAAACAAACAAGCAAAAATAACAACAAAAAGATAAAAATGAGAAAAGTGTACTACACCTGGAGATTCAAGGAAGTGGTCTTTGCTATTTTATTAGATCTGAATAAACAATTTGTCTTGGCCTTCAACTCCAGCCACTGTAGACTTAGAAACATGGGTTCTCTGTGTTGCTTTGGCTCTTCTGGAACTTGCTCTGTAAACCAGGCTGGCCTTGAATTCACAAATCCCCCTGCCTCTGCCTCCCCCAAGTGCACCACCACCAACCAGCAGGAAAGTAGGTTTTATACTGGATCAGACAGGCAAGGGAGCTAATCAGCTCTTGATCTGACAGGCAATAGGTAAAACTATCATAAAAGGGAACTATATTGTATGATCACTCAACACAATGTAAAAAAGTATCATCAAGATTCCCGAAAAGTGTGTCAGGGGCACTAGTAGGGAGATTTTATAATGACTCAGGTTTTGAATCAGATGTAATTCCCAGTAACCTAACAGAGTCAGAGGAGCTTCCTAAATTTATCAGAGTGACTCAAATGTTTTTGTGCCATTTTGAGTTAGTTAAGAAAGACAAATGCATTCTTTCCTAAAACCAGCCTTTCTTTACTGCCGGAAAGGTTCATGTCAAATTTACAGAGCTTTTTAAGCTGGGTGTTGGTGGCACACGCCTTTAATCCCAGCACTCGGGCGGCAGAGGCAGTCGGATCTCTGTGAGTTCGAGGCCAGCCTGGTCTACAGAGCAAGTTCCAGGACAGCCTCCAAAAAAAAGATTACAGAGCTTTTAAGGCTGACTTAAAGACACTGACAAGAGGGAGTAGGAACCTGTGCTGATGTTTAGAAACATCAGGGTTTGCTGACAGTTAGACAATACTCAACACTAAATCCTTCATTTCAGCTACAGAGTCCTAACACAAATGGTCCACTTGTCAAAATAAAGAGAGGACAAAGAATCAATGGATTCTTCTCCATCTGGACTAATAATTTCAAACATAATAATTTCAAACATAAGATGAGTTGTACTAAGGAAGATGAAAGTTGGGCAGTTACTTCTTTTCTGTCTTTATTGTAATCAGTTTAGTTGGTTGTTCATTAACTAAGAAAAATCAGTTCATTTTTCTTCTGACTAGTGAGAAGTAACTTCCCCTGTCTTAATTTCTCTACTTCAGAAAATAATACAGTGAATACAGTGATGATGAAACCTTTTTTTTTCCTTTTGGTTTTTCAAGACAGGGCTTCTCTGTGTAGCCCTGGCTGTTCTGGAATTCACTCTGTAGACCAGAATGGTCTCAAACTCACAGATATCTGCCTGCCTCTGCTTCCTGAGTACTGGGATTAAAGGTATCACCATAGCAAGGTAAGTGATGATGAATTTTAACTGGTAACTTGATGTGATGTAGATTCACTTAAGGGATAAACCTCTGGGTATGTCTATGAAGGTGTTTCCAGATCGGTTTACCTCAAAGTAGTCAAAGCAGACTATTTTGAAAAAGGATGCAAAGGTCCTGAACTGGGGGAGGGGGGAGAGAGAAAGTAGAAGAGAGGCATTGTCTCTGTTTCCTAACAGCGGGTAGAATACAACCATCAACCCAGGCTCTCACTGTATTAGATCTGCTCAGAAACCCAAATAAATTCATCCTTCCTTCCTTAAGTTGCTTCTGGTAGCTATTTTGTTACAGTAACATGAGAAACAGCTAATATAAATACTGAAATATTTCGTTACAAGCCCCACAAAATGTCCTAAGTCAATCAGTCTTGGATCATAGGAAGTATCTGTACACGTTTCTTTTAATTTAAACTTTCAGATTACCTCAAGTCCTAGTTTTCTCCCATGTGAGTTACTCAATAGTTTTCATTTACCAAGTTCATAGACTCATTGGAGAAGTAAATGTAGTAGATACCTTTTCACCAAGGCGAATACTGCCACATTTCAAAATGTTGATGTCATTTTTGCAGTCATCCATGAAGCCACAAATCAAACGGTAATCACTGAAAATGATAGCTGTCATTTTGGTAATGTATTGGTGACACTGATATTCAGTTATGTTGCCTCGGTGATCCACCAAGCAGGAAACCATGTAACCTTTACCAACTGGTTCTTCAGCACATTCTTTAATCTGTTAAAAAAAAAAGTGGCTACTTTACACATATAAAATCAAGAAACCACAATCAAACCAAGAAATTTATGTTGCTAGAAATAATATCTCCCTATGCAGCCCTAGCTAGCCTGGAACTCTCTATGTAGCAGACTAGCCTTCAACTCAGAGGTTAACCTGCTTCTGCCTCCTGAGTTCAGACATTAAAAGCTCTTTATATAGGAGAGAAGAAGGAAGATGTATAGAAATACATTGGTTTTAAGGAAAGATAGTGTTATTTATTCCATGGTATGGTAAAGACATAGAATTTGGCTCTTACCTATGGTTTCTCCAAATGGCGCCAAAGCAAGGCCATTGAAACTAGGATTTCTCTTTCCTGATTCAGGTCATAGAAGCCCTAACATTTCTCCTCTTTCAATACTGGAAGGTGGCTATTACATTCTCTGAACTCCTGAACTATCCTTCCCTCTTATTCTATGGGGTCAAGCCAGGGGAATGCTCCAGAGGCCAAGAAGAATGCTGACAGGCCTGGCTGGATTTCCCCATCCACTTTAATATTAGATATACAATCAAGTCTCAATAAAAACCAGAAGAACAAGGTTTAAGAGTTTCTAGATAGCTAGACATGCAGATCCCTAGAGGGTGGGGCATTAGGAAAGGGGCAGAGTTGAGCATTTCTCCTAAACCTTGACTTATGTATCACTTCATCTATCAGTGGTCCTCAACCTGTGGGTCGTGACTCCTTGGGGTGGGTGTCAAAGGACCCTCTCACAGGGGTCACCTAAGACCCATCAGAAAGCAGGTTTCATAACAGTAGTAAAATTACAGATGTGAGTAGCAATGAAAATAATTGTATGGTTGGTGGTCACCACAACATGAAGAACTGTATAAATAGTTGCAGCACTGGGAAGGTTGAGGACCAACGATCTATATCCTTTCAAATGCCATTTACAATTAAGTCATAAATGTGTTTTTCTCAGTCAGCCACTCAAACAAAGGAATTGTGGAAATCTTTTTTTCTTTTCTTTCCTCTTTAGACAGTTTCTCTAAAGAGCTCAGGCTGTCCTGGAATGCACCACATACAACAGACGGGGCTCAAACTCAAAGATCTGCCTACCTCTGCCTCCCCTATGTACTGGGATTAAAGGTGTGCACCAGCGCTTCCTAGCTAGACCTCTTTTCAAAATGGAATAAAAAGAGCTGTTAACATCTATACCCTTAGCTAATAGAGGGGTTCTTCTAACCATGCAAGACTGCAGTGAACAAAAATCTAAATAGTAAGTCTGGAAAACATGCAGATCTGAAGGCCAAGCTACACAGCAAACCACTGTCATTGGATACACCTTATGCCAAAGGAGAGAAGACATAATGTAATGTGATTTCAATAAACTATGGATTGAGATATATATTTCTGAACTTAGTAGAATCCGAGCCTAAGAACAATGGAGGTGGTGGTGGCACACACCTTTAATTATAGCACTCAGGAGACAGAGGCAGGAGGATCTCTTCAGTTCGAGGTCAGCCTGTTCTGCATAGTGAGGTCTGGGGGAGTCAGGGCTACGCAGAGAAAGCCTGTCTCAAAAAACAAACAAACAAAAACACCAAACAAACAACAAAAAACAAAACCCGTAAAAACAAACAATACCCCCCCCCCAAAAATCTGTGATCGGAAAAGGCAATTGTTTAGTGGGATAGTAAGTTTAGGGAAGGAATATACACTCCAGTGGGCAGAGTTCAAGGTGGTTTTCAAAGGCAATTCCAGGCTAGTCAGGGGTGTACACAGCGAGATGCCGCTGTTAATACAATGAAAGGAAAGCAGCCAAATGCAAGCAGGGAAATTACCCTGGTGAATATGTATATACATCAAAATAGATTCTATATGACAATCAAGAAGTTTATAGTTAATAGTGAGGGCATAATGAGGAAAATAAATGTATATGCATATGTTTCTGTCTATGTACAGGTAGATACCCTATTGCATCCAAAAAAGAAAAAGTGACTTACTAATATCTAATAGTTTGATAATATAGTTGGAAAACACACTGGCCAAACCCGAGTGCATTTCTTTGCTTGCATTCTTTCCATCATTAAGCAAATACCTCTCCTTGTGATATCTTAAAGTTGCAGACTCAGTCATATATCTCTCTAAGAGATTCTGAAATGTAGAATATTAAAGCTAAGAACTGAAAAGTAATTTGTCAAAGATTAACACCCTGTTTTTAAGCACCCAGATACAAGTGAGGAGTCATGGTTTTAAAACAATAGAATACCAGATTCAGTATGAAAAGGTATGAAGATGAAAGTAAGTTGTGCCAGCTCCCCCAAAATGGCATGCCCGAGGGCCATAAACCAAGGGTTTATCTGGAGAAGATGGTGCCTTCCTCAAGCACTCTGGACAAAGTAGTCTTCACTTATGTGTTAGTCTGATGACAAGTTACTATGCTTCAACACCCTAAGTCTATAATTGTAGAGTGAAAAAACTTCAATTTTTCTTCCTGAGTCTCATATTTCATAGTTAAGAATCTCCATCTTTCTAAATTCTAATACAAATTCTTAAAAGTTTCCTATAGCCAGCTGTGGTGGCGCATACCTTGGATCCCAGCACTCTGGAAGCAGAGGCAGGTGGCTCTCACAGAGAGGCAGGTAGATCTCAGAGTTGCAAGCCACACTGTGAGATCCCATCTCACAACAAAACATCTGTACAGTGACATACAGTTTCATTAATGGTTTTTGTCTTTATACTCAATTTATTATTATTGATTATTATTAATCTTTAAACACTTATGCCTATTATCTGATACATGTGCTCCATACTCCCATACTGCATAGCCAAATCATTTAGGAAGGTTTATAGGCCTCTGGAGAAATCTATTCTCATAACTTCAGCAGCTCTAATATACACCTGAGAAACATTAAGAATTCATCATACTATTTCAGTGGATAGTTACAAAAAGAAGTCTAGTTAAACATCCTTTTTGTATCACAACCAAAGCAGATGAGAACTCCAAGGAAAGTAAAGCAATTGAGTCATTTCCTTTAAGAGGGGTAGCCAACAGATTCTATTGTGTCTTACAAATCACATTATCCACAAAATTACTTCATACTTTACCTCTGATATAGTTGACTTGCAAACCTCTCGGGCCACAGATTCAAATTTGGGATCAGTAGTCAGGTTCAGCTTGTAATTCCACAACAACTGGGTTAAAGAGAAGAAGAAAACAAAACAAAGACCCTCTGGTTAGAACAACATGAAATTTGTCTTCAGTGATTACTATAAATGACAAAAAATAGTTATACAGTCATATTAAGCATATTTACATTTCCAGTAACACACAATGCCATCACATTCACAGATGAAAAGCAAAAAATATATACAAAGAATTAAATGAGCATCCATCATCCAGATATTCTTTTTTCTTTCCTCCTAAATGACATGTTTTTAAAACTATGAATTAAAATTATGTGGTCCATGGACTACAGAAATAGCTCAGTATTAAGAACATGCTCTGCTCATACAGAAGACTAGAGTTCAGTTCTCAGAGCCAGGTTCTGAGACTCCTAACTGTACCCCTACTCCAGGACATCTGATACTCTTTTCCGCCCATAATGGACACTGTGCCCATCTGCACAACCCCCACTCACTTAACTAAAAGTAAACCTAAAAAATTCTAAATTATGAGGTATCAAGAAAAAAGTAGCAAGCTAGGTGGTGGCGCATGCCTTTAGTCCCAGCACTCAGGAGGCAGAGGCAGACAGATCTCTGTGAGTTTGAGACCAGCCTGGTCTACAAGAGGGAGTTCCTGGACAAACTCCAAAGTAACACAGGTGAAACCCTGTCTCAAAAAATAAAAAAATAAAAGGGAGAGAGAGAGAGAGAGACAGAGAGACAGACAGACAGAGAGAGAGAGAGAGACAGAGAGACAGAGACAGAGAGAGAGAGAGAGAGAGACAGAGAGAGCAGAGAGAGAGAGAGAGAGAGAGAGAGAGAGAGAGAGAGAGAGAGAGAGAGAGAGAGAGAGAGAGAGAGAATCCAGCACTTAGGAGGCAGAGGCAGGCAGATCTCTGAGTTCAAGGAAGGCCTGTTCTACAGAGCAAGTTCCAGGACAGTGAGGGCTACAGAGAGAGACCCTATTTCAAAAAACCAAAACTACCACCAATAAAACACCAAACAAACAAAAACCCTAAATACTAAAGTCCCTGACAAAGTTTTGGAGAAAACTGTTTCCAAAAAGTCTGCCCTAAATGCTCAGAAGTGGTGAAATTTGTCTGAGAATTCACAGAACAGTGCTTTTCACAGATCAACCTTAAGGAGAGTTGCTCAGATTCTAGTTTCCAGGAATATCTGTCTTTATTCCCTGAAAACACATGATTGACCCTTTGTTATATGGTTTACTTTAGAACTGTTTAATTTTGCTTTTTAATTTATTTCTTTACTGTGTACGGGAGTTTTGCCTGCTGAGTTTAACTACCACTCTGGCATATCTGTTTTCTTTGAAGGTGTTACTACACCTTAGGGTTTCTACAACAAGATAATATTTATAGGACTCCTTAAACAAGGCTTATAACATCCTTTTTAAAACTCACAGAATCAGAGAAAATATAAAGCTTCCAGAAAAAGATGAAAAAGTTTCCCAAAATTTGTCATTATATTTATAAAGCACAAATGGTGAGTTACTGAAAATTCATACTTATTGGGCTGGAGAGATGGCTCACAGGTTAAGAGCACTGGCTGTTCTTCCAGAGGTCCTGAATTCAATTCTCAGCAACCACATGGTGGCTCACAACCATGTATAATGAGATCTGGTGCCCTCTTCTGGCCTGCAGGCATACATGTAGGCAGAATACTGTATACACAAAAAGTAAATAAATCTTTAAAAAAAAATTCATACTTACATGATTGCAGTCTGAAGAAATTTCATTCTCAGGCTAGAAAGAAAGGAAAAAGAGTGAGAAAGATGTTTAAAACAAACAAACACTAAAGATTCCAACCCCTCAAGTTCTTAAACACCACACAAATAAAGTCAAAACCAGAATCTGAATACTTAATGAAATATGTCTCCTCAGTACAAGGAGTACACTGGAGCTGACACCCCTTCCAGACCTCTGAGGACAAATGTACCACAAAGGTACACGAGAAACAATCCCTTTTCTATTAGTAATACAATGTGGAAATGGGAAAGCATGCCAATACAATAATATAACAGCAACATAATGACATTTTCTAATTTTGAATGCTAAAGAGGCGCTGGAGAGATGGCTCAGTAGTTAAGAGTACTAGCTGCTCCTCTCAAGGACCTGGGTTCATCGCTTCTCGGCCTTTTGGCTAAGATCAAGTGAAGGACCTGGTTCAATTTCCAGCACCTACATGGTAGCCCACAACCATGTAACTCCAGTTCCAGGGGATCTAAGGCCCTTTTCTGGAGTTCATGAGTACTGTACACATGTGGTACACAGACATACATGGAAGCAAATCTCAATACATATAAAAGTAAAAACAAATTATAAAAGAAAACTAAGCCGGACAGTGGCAGTGACAGAGCAGGTGGATCTCTATGAGTTCGAGGTCAGTCTGCTCTATAGAGTGAGTTCCAGGACAGGCTCCAAAGCTACACAGAGAAGTCCTGTCTTGAAAAAACCCAAAAAAACAAACAAAAAACTGGTGACAAAGAGAGCAAACAGAGGAATATCTTTATGTATATACCTCCAATATCAAGACCCAGGAACTAAGAATTGAAAGAAAGGCATTCCTGTAGACCAGGCTGCCTGCCTCTGCCTCCTGAGTGCACCACCACCGCCCAGCTTGAATTGTTTTTATTAAATTAAAGTAGCTTTCATTTCTATTTTTGCCATTTATTATTATGAATCACTAAATTTGTGTTAGTGTTTGTTGACATGAATTTGACTGTTGCCTATTCCAATTCTAAGGCTATTCTTTTCTCTTTTTAGCTCTGGCCAGTCAGGAACTGCCTGCCTCTGTTTCCAGAGTGATGGGATTTTTAAAGGTATGTGTCACCACTCTCTGAGGTTTGGTTTTTCTGTTGTTTTGTTTTTTGTTAACTGAAGGAGAACAAGCAAGGCGAGGTTAAGAAGCCTGGAGTGACGAGGGCTGGGATCTGCATTTACATGTTTTAGGTCTGAAGTCCAGGGGCTTATCTTAACTGCTGTATGTGCTTGGGGTGCAGGAAGTAAAACTCTTGTGACAGTTTTGAGAGAGTGAGAACTCACTAAAAGCTGAGTCATTAAAGGAAGGTCAGTTTGTTTATCTGTCAATGTCTCCAGGGGCACATTTCTAGATAGAGAAGAGTAAAATTTGCTGTTAAACAGCACAGTTGTAAACGATGTAAAAATAAATCTGTAATTACTGCCTAACAAAATGAAACAGTTTATCCATAACAGTAGTGATGGCTAGTTACTGCTTCGAGGAAGATGGAAATCACATAGGGGAAACTTCTTTGGAAATGGAATAGCTTTTACATAAATGTAAACAATAAACATTAGTTTAAAAGAAAAACAAAATGTCACTTTTAAGGAAAGCTATATGAGTACACTGTATTTCAAATGGGTACACTATTTCTCAAATTTCTTTTTTAAAAGTTTTATTATTTTATGCATTTATCTGTTTGTCTGTAGGTGTACCACATGCCCAAGGAGGCCAGATGAACAGTCTCACCAGCCCCAAAATACTCTTTTAATCCAAAATTGTTTAGTAGAAATGTATTTGAGTGGAAAGATTATTAAACTAGATTAACTCATAATGTGGAGGCTGATTTCAGGGACTCAAAGGCATTAAAGTATTTGTTCTTAATGAAATAGTAGATAAAAAATTCAACAGTAACTGGTTAATATTGGAAACTTAGAAATGTCTTTAGAATCAAAGAACAGAGGAGTGGCTAAGGCAAACACAACAGTGCCATGCAAAACATAAGATATAAAACAGTGTTTTCACAATTTTGTAAACAGAGGTACATCACTGCCAATAGAAATTAAAGACAGCATAAAAGAAAGTTGTATGTTTAGCCATTTGATAAGGAACTAAAGGGCATGGTAGTTCACACCTTTAATCCCAGCATTTGGGAGACAAGAGGCAGGCAGCCTTCTGGTTTTGAGGCTAGCCTGTTCTACAGAGTGTATTTTTCCATGATAGCCAGGGATATCTCAAAAAAAAAAAGTGATAAGGAACTACAAACCAGAAATTTCAAACAAAAATAGATGTGGGTACTGACTCTGGTTAATTTCTCCAAAAGTACTAATTCCACAACACCCCAATCAAATCACTGCATCAGATAGATCACATCTATTTTCTCCAAACTGTGAATGTAGACACACTAGACTATCTTTAATCTCAAAAGAACAGCACAGGACACAAACCCAGATTGCTAAAATAGAATATGGTTGAGAATGTTCTTCCATTTTTTAGTCAGGAGTGAAATGATCAAGAGAAATGCATTAACAAAAATATATTTGGGCTGGAAAGATGGCTCAGCTGTTTGTTAAAGGCTAGACTCACAACCAAAAATATATATTTAATAATTATGCCCACAAATTATTCTAGGCATTGTTGTAAAACATAACAAATTAAAGACTTTAGTTTCTAATTTCAGGTGGTTCAGAATACAGCAATATAGAAAAACTGCTACGTCAAACAAATGTAGGATTGAGGTAGGTCTAAAGAATTACTTGTGGGTCACTCTGCACATCAGATTTTTTGTTTTGTTTTGTTTTTAGAGACAGGGTTTCTCTGCCACCAACACCTGGCTGCACATCAGATTTTTACATTATAATTCTATAACAGTAGCAACGTTACAGTGATGAAGTAGCAACAAGTAACTTCATGGTTGGGGGGGTCACCACCACATGAGGAACTGTATTCAAGGGGCAAAGTATGAGGAAGGTTGAGAACCACTGAGAATGAGTTTTATGCAAGAGAAGTGGGTAAGGACTTGGGAGACTGAAGCAGAGAAACCTAGGAGTGGTCAATTGGAGCTACACAATAAAGCCAACAAAATTAGCAATCTTCCCAACCTCGTAAGTTTTAAGGTGTTTTAAAATATATGTAATAATGGAATATTTCATGAATAAATATGTATACATTGGGAATATGGTGATGGCTTGGTTATCTACTTGACTATATATTAACTAAAATCCAAGTGACTGGGTATACCTGTGAGGGATTTTTTTTTCCCTCTTACTTAAATCATTTGAAGTAGGAAAGATTCACTTTTCTTCTGGGCCACACCTTTGGGTGGCAGTCTAAATAAAGGACAAGGAAGAAGGAAGCTTGTATTATTATTGTCTTTGCCGGTTTGCTCTCACTGGCAAGTCCATTTCTTCACTGGCTAGAAACTACTTCTTTGGGATTCTGACATATACTGAAGACCAGCTGAGACATCCAGCCTCATGGACTAAAAAAACTACTGAATTCTTAGACTTTCCACTAGTAGACAGCCATTGTTACACTAGTTGGACCACAGCCTGTAAACCACTCTAATAAACCACATATTCATATGATTTATTATGCATTTTGTGATATATATATTCATTCTATCAGTTCTGTTCCCCCCAGACACCCTGACTAATATAGATATGCCTAATTTTTTTCAAGTGATAACATGATAAGAATAGAGGATTAAGAGCTGAAATTTAGGGCTAGAGATATTAATAGCTAAATGGCTAACAGCCCTTACTGTCTGGAGCACCTAGGTTCAGTTCCCAGGACCCACATAGTCACTCGTAACCACCTGTAACTCGGTTCCAACGCCCGCCTCTTACCTCCGAGGGCATCAGGCATACACATGGTGCACCAATACATGTGAGCAAAACATTCATACATGTAAAATTAAAAATTTAAGTCTTTTAAAAAAGAAGTTATTAGCAATAAGAAAGAGAGAACCTAGTACATGTACCCATCCCAGTATAGTGGTAAATAAAACAGAGAAGGAACTTGGAGGGTGTATGAGTAACAGCAGCGCACAAAGGCAGTAAGACAGGAGAGGGGATGAGCACAGAGACTTGGAGATACCTGCCTGACTCCAACAAACAAACAAACAAACAAACAAAAAACCCCACGTGGCTGTCAACTGATATTTCTTACAATATAACAGACTCAAGATAAATGGGACTGTATCCAATTTTACAGACAAAGATACTCAAGTACAGAGAAACTAACATGACCAAAGGTACTCTTGCTAGGTAGCAAGCCTAGGTTTTTAAGGGAAGACAACTAAATAATAATGAAAGGCTTAAGTATTGGTAGGGTGGTCAGGTATAATAAGCAAACTAGTGTTCTAGGATCTTCTTTTTTTGTTTGTTTGTTTTGGTTTTCCGAGACAGGGTTTCTCTGTGGCTTTGGAGGCTGTCCTGGAACTAGCTCTTGTAGATCAGGCTGGTCTCGAACTCACAGAGACCCACCTGCCTCTGCCTCCCAAGTGCTAGGATTAAAGGCATGTGCCACCAACACCTGACCCTCTAGGATCTTTTTTAAAAAAAAACATTTTTAAAATTTATTTTTTACATTCCAATCCTAGTCCTCCTCCTCTCTGCCCCCATCATCTCGTTGAGGCAGAACCAAGGCACCCCTACCCCCACATCCCTGTGTCTAGGCTGAGCAAGGTATCTCTCTATATAGAATAGACAGTACTAAGTCATTTTGTGCATTAGTGTTAGATCTTGGACCCACTGCCAGTGCCTCGTATATTGTCCTAGCCACACCATTGTCACCTGTATTAAGGGAGTCTAGTTCAGTCTTACGCAGGTTCCCCGTTTGTCAGACTGGAGTCAGTGATCTCTCACTAGCTTGGGTCAGCTGATTCTGTGGTTTCCCCATTATGATCTTGATTCCTTTGTTCATATTATTGCTCCTCCCCCACTTAGATTGTACTCCAGGAACTTGGCCCAATTAAAAAGTGGGGTACAGAGCTAAACAGAGA